CCGTGACCGACCCTTGCGAAAGTTTCTACCGCCTACTACCGAGTACCGAGCTACTTATACAGTATGTACTTTGAATTTTTAAGTGTTTATTGTTATATAAGTAAGTAATTTTATAATTCAGACTATTGCATAACAATTACGAAAATTGTGAAACGATAAACTAGCATTATCAATCATGACAAAGATCTTTATCAGTCATCATAGAGATCTTTGTACCAAGTAAAAAATATTATAGATGTTTTAAAGGCGATTAAAATATTCAGTTTTATGGTCTAAGTTGGAATGTCCCTATAAGGTTCTATGGATGGATATGGATGGAATCGAATGGGCAATGACCCACCACATCGGCTCAGTGCGGATCGGTGGGTATTAAATAATACATATACAGCCGGGACCAACCAACGGTTTAACGTGCCTTCCGATGCACGGAGAAGCGCGAGATATTGAACTTTTGGTCACCCATCTTATGAACAGCCACTGCGAAAGTTGCTAAACCTAAAGCAGAACGAGAGCTCTAACCACTACGCCATTGAGGTCCCTCGTTCGATCGTTACGAGTTTTTACTCGTTACGTAGTTTGTTAAGAGTGTTTATAAAGGTCGAGAAAAGACTTTATAAGAAAAAGTAATCAATGCTTAAATTATAATAGGTATTATGTTAAGTATGCAGAAGATATGAACATTTATCCTTTCTTTTTCACTTACTAACATTCGAAAGAAATATGGTACTTATGATCAGAGATGTGACTTATCTTAGATACAAGTATTTGAAATACAGATAAAAGATACAAAATACGTATTTTCATCTTGTATCTAAAATACTTTTTTTAGGAAGTATTTTGTATCTTGTATTTAAATACTTTTGATTAGTATCTTAGTATCTTTTAAATACTTTTTCTGATAAAATACTTTATAAAAAGATTATTTCTTACATTTTATAAATATCACAAAACATTATTTGCCTAAAACATACATATTTACAAAAAGAAAGTGTTCAATTATCAACGCAATGAATATTTAGTTAAAAATAACTCGAATCCAAACATTGTTTGGTGTCATTTAACGCACACCCGTTATTGGTTTACGAAAAGGTTGCTGTTTGGTGGTCTAACGCGGATGTATTTCATCACAGCTTCTTACCCAGGAGGACGAGCATTACTGCAGATTTACTGTGTGTATTGTGAAGAACTGAACACAATGACGGAGAAGCTGGCACAACTCCAACCAGGTTTTGTCAATCGTTCGGTTCCACTGCTCCTGCACGACCACGTACGACCTCATACTACACAATTGGCGGTACCCAAGCTACAAGAGCTGGGGTTTGAAGTTCTCCGTCATCCGCCGTACTTAACAGACCATGCGCCTACAGACTTCTAATTCTTCCAGAATTTGGATAACGTCTTAGCGGGAGAAAAATAAATTCCCGAGAGGCAGTACAAAATGCCTTTGAAGTATTTGTTGCCTCCCGTCCAGCTGATTTCTTCAAGAAGGCATCATTAAGCTACCAATGCGTTGGCAAAGATGTATTGATTGCATGGGTGATTACTTTGATTAATAGAAATAAGAAAATAAAGCTTCATTTATTTTATTAAAAACGGAAATTTCATAGATAAAGACTTAATTAATACTTCAAATCCGGTTGAGACCGGATTTATCCGATCAGATGGTAACTAATGGCGCATTACCAACAGTACCAGCAATACCAACTCTACGTCTTTTTAGGTACATCTACGTATTATAAGCCTTTCCTACAAACCAACGTACTATAATCAACCACAGAAGCTAAGTATTTTCTACTAAAAATTTTCAAATTAGCTTAACACACTAAAGGGGCATAATTTTCGGTAGTTCTGCAAAAAAAGTTAATATACGTTCCGTTACATACTATCGCACATTCACCTCGTCACAAGTCACGCCATTAATTTTAAAAACCAAGTATTGTATTTATTTTTACCCACTCTCTTCATCTCACTAGGAAAAAATGAATTTTCAGTTCTCCGTAATTTTACGTCGTACGTAAAACCAGCTTTTTAAATAAATAATAATTTTATAATTAAATTTAAATAATTATTCTTGTTGTTATATTTCAGCAATTTTTCATTCACAATGCTATATTGAAAAAAAATATTATTAAAAAGGAACTAAAAAATTTTAAATAATTTAAACCTGATGTATTAAATATTTGCATGTTTATATGTTACATTGTGATTGACAAACAAATAAAACGGAGGAAAAGTGGGTGAAATTTAGCTTGTAAGATTTGAGTACAAACACAGAAAACTAAATAAAAGCTTACAAAAATTGTTTCTAATGAAAAATGCTTAAAAAATCCACTTTGTCCCTGGAACCATCTGGTCTAAGATTTAGGTTTTTGTGGTCTTTAATAAACAAACTTAAATTCAAATCTTTTTTTAGAAAAGTATTTGTATTTATAAAAAGTATCTATAAGATACCTATTTTGTATCTAGTATTTCAAATACTTTTCTCGAAAGTATTTCGTATCTGGTATCTGAAATACTTAATTTAAAAGTATTTTGTATCTTGTATTCCAGATACTTTGTACAGGGTATTTTGTACATCTCTGCTTATGATACCTACTACCAGCTGTTACCCCGGGGTTGGTGACCGATTTTGTCGATATTGGCAGTTTGTTTACAAAAACTAAAATATTAACTCATCAATAAAGAACTTTTTATTGTTTGTTTGCATTGAATAGGCCCCTAAACAAACGGGGGCAATTTTAAAAATCGAAATGCGAGAATACTCGTATTTTATATGAAACATGAAATTCTAGTTTTTTTTTCTATATATCGAGGCATTTTCTTACGCTATGTACCTAATTTTTCTAAAACTGCCGCCACCATAGCCACTGCGAATTTCATGTCATAATAGGGATGATGACTGGGTAAAAAAATGCAATTCTATTTAGTCCGTCAGTCAGATAATAGAAAAATATTAGATACGTATTTTTTTTTTTTACTTCAATTTAACAAGAAATAGCTTAGATAACAGGTATTAAAGTTGAGGAGTGGGGGCTCGCTACGTCACAGTTGAGTAGAAAACGTACTCTAACGTGACGTCATGCGAAATTTCAACTCAATGCAACGCCGTAATTTTATGATTACGAAAAAAATAAAAAAATTCGTGTTTAATATTTTTTAACACTCTAACTGACGGACAAACAAACAAAAATTAGTCATTATCCCTACTACTATAAAATTCTTAAAGACGGATCTTAAGGAGCAAAGTAAGTATAAAACATTGTTGAGTACGTCGATAAAAATACGACTGGGAGGAAAATTTTATGTCTCTTAACTGTGTCTTTGTTTTTGTCATGGTTCATTGATTCCGGGAATTATCAGTGAAAACTAAGTATAAAATTACAGACGGCTATCGTCAATCATTGCATTATACACACTTATCTGTCCTCAGACATTCCACAAACAAGTTCATTAACTGTAGTACTCCACTATTCATAAGAGTATGAATGAATTACTTTAAAAGAGAATGAGGTATTGTATATAACAGAACTGTCTTTCATAAGAGGCGCATTATCACGTTTTATGTATTTATCAGTAATGTAGTTGTTTTGGTTTTCCGGACGAGATGCTTATATCGGCCGCAATAAACGCGATCGTTGCCATTTATGTGTGGACTTTATCATCGATAACATCTCTTAGTTCGGCTGCTTTCGTTATTTTAACTTCATTATATATTTAAAGTGAGTAGTTATATAGACTAGTTTATAATTCAAATTGTGTCATAAGACGAAAAGTTACTTATTGAAAGAAATCTGCAACGTAAGTAAGCAGCGGTAACTTAGTTTTTTGATGACTTCATTCAATATGTTGTTTTAAGCCTTCATGGTCAAAAAATATGTAATATTTGAAAGGCGCGAAAATTTTATAGCCAATCATAACGTTCCGCGGTTGCGCGGGTTCGTTTGCTATTGGTTGCGGACGCGCCACGTTTGACGTATCAGATATTAATTGTTTTTGTTGATTATAAATCTTAAAAAAGTCTATACGCCATTTTATGAACGTTAGTGCATATATTCCCCTCTTGATGCTATCAATAATAAAATGTACCTTTACTACACGAGGTCCAGAGAATATTAAAATGTGACGCAGCCTGTGTGAATGTAAAAAATAATAATAATCTAATGAAAATCATATCTTAAAATAAAAATATAATAACTTTAACGAGTTCCATCACGGGGTACCTGAGCATTTTCATGAGTCATATTTATCGGTATAGCATTGAAAAAAAGTTTATCGTACAGTAATAATTGAGATGGTGAAAGGAGCGCCGCGTTTGTGCGGTTGGTGTCTCGTTTTAAGATATCTATGTGTATTTTAAAAGATTATAAAACTGCATAAGTAAGGTGAGGTAGGGACCGATTTTAAATATTATTTCAACTAGATGAGATCTTTTAAACTATACAACCGGACTTTAATGCTGTTCTCACCAATATACAGAGTGATTCAACAGGAAGGTTATTTTATTTTGAACGTTAAAAATATAAATTTTAACGTTGATAATGCAAAAAACCTCAGTATGTTCGAGGCCTGCCTGAGGCAGAATGTTATCGATAGTACTTACAACTTGCGTAATTATTATCTAAATGTTTTATTGTATAGTGTGAATTATCAACCTGCCTGGGGTGTGAAGATATAGATAAGTAGATTAATGTTATGTGTTTATTTATCTTGCGGAAAATCAGATACTGAAAAATGCAATCTTATCAGGTTATATCTTATAGTGTCGTCAAGGCAAAATTTATCAAATATCATAGTGTTTTGTGTATTCTGAATAGCTCTATGGCGTAGTGGATAAGCGCCGCGGGCCAGGATCGTTGTTGTTAAGCAACTTTAGACTATGGTCGGTCACAGGATGGGTGACCAAAAAATTATTATCTCGAGCTACTCCGTGCTTCGGAAGGCACGTTAAGCTGTTGGTCTCGGCTGCATTTGCAGTCGTTAATATCCTCCAATCTGCATTGGGCCAGCGTGGAGGGTCATGGCCTATCCTCCTTAGCCATCCATAAGGAAGGCCTGAGCCCCTGCAGTGGGGACCTAAAAGAGCTGATGATGATGAATATACTTCAAATTGTTTGATCAGATGTCGGTGAAGGTGGAGAGGATAACTGATCCATTGGTGCTGGGGGAGGGTCCTCATTGGGACGCCGCGCACCAGGTCCTGTACTTCGTGGATATCGTGAACTGCACATTATATAGATACAAACCAGCAACCGGGGAACAGACAAAGACAAAACTAGGTAAATTGTTGATCAGCATTATACTTTATACCGTTCATTACTTATCTTTGGCTAACTGGGTTAATTGTACTGAGGCGGCATGATATCTAATGTTCATTTAGGTCGATGCCGCCCGCGTGCGGGGTGTTGGCGACTTGTGCAGCTCGCTTTCTTGTGTCGGTCATTGATTTATTGTTTACGACATGTTATTATTATATGCAGACATGAAATTTACTGCAATATATATAATAACTATAAAACTTTATTTTAGTGGTGAACTTAACAGTTGAAGTCATATATTATGAGGCAAATAATGATGATAAAATTTTGGAACTCGGCATTGCGTAACTCTGTATTCATGTTCTCTTTACTCTTAATCTTCCATAAACATTGGATATATTTATACTAGTTTTCCGCCAGCGACTTCGCCAGCGGGGTTCCTAGGGAACTGTTTAGTGGGATAAAAAGTAGCCTATATATAATCGAGGCTTACAATTATCCGTATACGAAGTTTCATGAAAATCCGCATAGTAGTTTTTGCATGAGGAAGTAAGAAATTAGATTGAATATATGTATTTTAACAAAATTGATTGAATATACGTGTCTCAGACATTCTATTTAATTACGAAACTTACTTCACTTATGCCAGTAAACGTTATTGGCAATTCAAGATTGAGCGGAAGCCACTTTTTGTGAATTCAGACACACGAGTGAATTCGAATTCGGGTCTGGATTTTTACAGAATAGCAGGTCTGGTCTGAGGCAATCTGCCCGCGGTGAGCATTCACCTACAGGCATGTCTGTGCCCGCGCAGACTAAACGATATCTCACGGACGGGCGACTGGCAGTTTGCCAGATTGACTGCGTCGGACCTACACTTTAAATTGCTTGTTCCCGAACATGACACAAACCAATAGCAACGAGGTCTGTCAAGCATATCTACAGACTTACCCGCGGGTATGCCCGTCTAGTAAATTTCCCGCTTTAATGTATACGTCAGAACGTGACGTACGGAGGTAATCTTAAATTCATCATTTTCTCATATCAACGTGTCTTTTTAGGTGACGTTGTAGGTTTTGTAGTGCCGATAGAGGGCACTAGTGATCAGTTCGTGGCAGGAGTGAAGCGTGAGTTTCAAGTGGTGCAGTGGGACGGTACCGACGGTAGCGCCCCCCGCGTGCTGCGGACGCTCGGGGAAGTGGACCAGCAGCGGCCCGCCAATAGGATTAACGATGGGAAGGCTGACCCTAGAGGGAGACTGTTTGCCGGTAAAATAACAATAAACTTAGTTGTAATTAACAGATAGCTTGTCTGTCGGGGGGATCTAATGTTTTGTATTGCCATCTCACTTTTTCCTTTACAAGAATATGTCCTTACTTTCTCGCAACACGCCTAAGCAGACACTGTGCTACAATTTGAATTCTGAGCTCTATTAGTAAACATTGAATTCATTGATTTCGAATTGAGTCGTACTAATTTATAGATGTTAAACATTCTTGATCAAATAGGTACCATGGGCGAAGACTCTCCAGGCCAATTTGCGATGAACAAAGGCTCCTTGTACAGATTGGACGGGCCCAAGATGAAGAAGGTCGCGGAGGGAGTGACCGTCTCCAACGGACTCGCGTGGGATCTCAACGAGAAGGCGATGTACTACATAGACTCGATTGAGCAAAACATCAGAAGATACGACTATGATGTGGACACAGGGGAAATTTGTGAGTTACATTTCACATTACTGCCGTCCCGAGCCTAAATTGTAGTAATGGCAAAAACAAGGAAACGAGAAAAACGCGCGGATATCACTGTTTAATGAATGCAAGGGTTCAGAAAATTTAGGATACTAAAATAATTCACAAATTTCAGGTTCAAAATACGACAAATAAATTATTTATAGCCATTGTAATATTTTTACCCTATTACTGCATCTAGTTTTTTTTTGTCATATATTTTTTTTACTGTTTAGGTAAAATTGCGTAAAGTGAGCTGTTACTGCATATTCAACAGTTTTGGTACGAGTATTATATTAATTTACTAAAATGCAGTAAGTAGGTCAAAATTGTTACTGCAAATTAGGTGGCAATCTTAGCGTTTTTCAGATAAATTTACAAAATTGGGCGCTTTGATTTTCAAAGAAAAAAAGAAATACTGTTACAGGTCATAGAAAAAAAAATTATAAATTAGACTAATAGATCTAGGTTTGAATTGGGCTTTCAGACGTATATGAAAAACTTAAAAACGCAAATTTTGCTTTTACTGCGGTTTAGGCTCGGGAGGGCAGAATAGTACCTACATGTTTATCAAAAATAAAAAACGTGTGTGCGTGCGAGTAAATAAATAGCAAGACTGATGAGGATCAGTTATTGAATCACGTCTGGTATAAACGATCCTGTATCAGGATTACTTTTAATTGTATAACGTTTTAATAATGTTTCTAAGTAGGTCAAGAGAGTAAAATGATTTTAAAACAATATTCAGATTAGTTTCAGGGGGCTTTAGCTACTCATCTTGGAATCTGAGCAGAATATTTATAATAGTATTAATAATTAGTATTGTAACTTACTTAAATAGAAACGGAGAAGATTCTCTATAAAAAAATTTAATTATGGAAATGACACTTCTGTTGTTTCCAATATCGCTGATTTCACAATGAAACCATTTTCGCTGTTAATACTTTACTGAATTGTGCAATTATTTTATTCCAAAAATATCTGGTGGAATATTTTCATATCCTTTACAATCAATTGTAATTGTAAAAATGTTATGTTTTTATCGTTTTGATATAATCTTGGCTACTCGATATTATTGGTCCCGTTGATAACCGTTGGCCCCGGCTTCATTTGCATTCGTTAATACCCTCCAATCCGCATTGGGCCAGCGTGGAGGGTCTTGGCCCATTCTCCTTAACCATCCATAAGGAAGGCCTGAGCCCCTGCAGTGGGGACGTAAAAGAGCTGATGATGATGACTCGATATTTCTTGTGTAGCAAACATGAGGCACGTATTCGACTTTAAAAAGAACGAGATAGAGGGCCTCCCGGACGGTACCACTATCGACACGGAGGGCAACTTGTGGGTGGCGGTGTTCGACGGCTCGTGCGTCCTCAACATCAACCCGCGCACGGGACAGCTGCTGCGCAAAATACCGATACCGGCTAAACAGGTCTCAATAATTGCCTTTTCCAGTAACATCTTATGAATTCGAGCGAGGTAGGATTAACGATGTCTTCAAAGGAATCTTCATGAATTCGCTAACCGCGCTCAATTTCTTTTCATTTTACTACTTTGATATGTATTTTGATGGATAAACGATTAAGCTGATAATCCGCCTATCAAATATATAATCATAATTCTATTTATTTAGTTTATAAATTTTAAAATATAGTCAACAGCAACACCCGGTTTCTCAATTGAGTATTTTAAATACTCAATAAGCATGTACTTTAACGTCACTTTAACAGGGTTTCGTTTCCGATTTAAGTTTTGTTTTATGATCAGTTGATAGCGGTTTCATAAAAACTAGGAATTTTTGCCATATCAATAGTAAACAAGTTATTAAGAATAATCAGTAGAGACTTTATACTTTTTTAAATGAAAAACTTAAAAGGTCAAAATTTATTGTAGAAATTTAGTATACTGTTAACAAGACGAAACAAAATCATCGCTAAGATGTTTTAACCTACTGCTAGAGAGTAAGGTGGTAGCGTCCTTGGAAATATATAACACCCATTACCTGCCTGCGGCTGACGTCCCATTTCTCAGCTATAAATTAAAATATTCCGCCGGTACCGATTCTGTCCCGTATGTTAATTCGATTTTAGAAATCGTTTGAGTGGATTGATATACCCCAGACCTAATAAAAAGCGAATTAATACCGTTTTTACTATGATAATCTTTTAAATATGTAGGATCCAACAACAATATTTTAAAACATGCGCGTTCCTCTGAAAAATGAAAAAAAAAAATATAGTAGTAGATAATTTGTTTTTTTTTATTTATCCCGGACAAAAAAAACCCTTTATTTCTAATTAAGCATTTGTCCCGTATAGGCCGCAATAAAATCTGGTAACTCTACCGCTAGTGTATGACACACAGAACAATCATTGAAGTATAACACGTGTGCCTTCATTTGTTGTTTAATGATTAGGTGACGTCAGCAACATTCGGCGGACCCAACATGGACGTCCTATACGTGACGACGGCCAGTCTCAACATCGAAGGGGAACAACTGCCGCCGTGCGGCGCCACCTTCGCGGTCACCGGTCTGGGCGTTAAGGGTCATCCCAATGCCAACTTTAAATTGTAAACAACCCACCTTTTATTTGTTTGTATTAATCTGAAAGGTATTTTTTATGTGTATGCATTTGTTACCTTGTGTATGAAATTAAAAAAAATCGTGGACATTCCATTCGGTAAATGTAACTGTAGATAGAGCCAATAAATATTAAGTTAAATGTAGTATATTTCATTTATATAAAATTCAGATAATTATATTAAATAAATAAATATACATGAATTATAATAGTATGTATTTTACTTTTAGAAGTCTGTTTAAAGCGGCGAAATTATCCATGACAAGTTCCCTTTTTCCGAAGATAGGGTTGACATCTATAATTCGGCGATTAAATAGTAATTCAATTTTCGATTTAAACTAGTTTTTGTATCCCAGCTCCAAGAACTGTTCAGGCCGTTATTCACTCATGTATTCGTAGTCTGCAAAGTAAATTATACAAAAATAGGAGGGTAGAAATAAAACTAGGTTTAGCATACAAAAATGTTTATTTCAACCGTACAAAGTAACCAGAGTATATAAAACGAATATTATTACTTAAAATTTAGTTTAAAATTAATTTAATCTAACCACCGCCGCGAATCCGACAGGCGAATATAGCTAATATTAACTTAATAATAACATTTCAATAGAATTTTATAATTGTACTATCTACCGGAAGTCCAATATTATGAGTGCCATGTCTCCCTTACACATAGTAATGTCATCCAGCACTTTTGATTCTATTGATATGCGACTATTTCGTAACACCCCCCCTTATTATCGAACGCAATCGCGACCGATCGAAATCGCAATCGTGCCGCTCCGCACTCCTGATTGGTTCACTAGTGTACTCTAGCGCTAATGTGACGGCTATTCCTGGAACCCGTCGGTGTAATCCATAACAGTTCTTCATATTAAACGAAATGCTCAGATAAACCGAGTTAATCACCATACGCATAATGATTCTGTAATAATCTAAACCCGAATTCGAATTCACTCAGGTGTCCAAATTTACTTCATAAAGCGGCATCCACTCAACTTTGAATTGGTAATAACGTTTTATGTCATAAGCAGCGTTGCCAGATACACTGTAATTACAGCAGATCTACTGTATTTTTGTACGATCTACTGTACACTGTATTACTAAAATTACAGTGTATGGAGAACACTGTAATTTTGTCGACGGACAAAATTGATATGTGACTTGATAAATTAGAAAATTACACCACCATGTTAGTTATCGAGTCGAATATCAAAGCCTAAGAATTGCCCTCCTAGAAGAATAGGGTCGCTGTGTAGACTATCAGGGAATTCCCCGGGCATAGACTAAATAATAACAGCATAGGGAATGTAGTATTAAGCGCCCAAATTGTGTTGATCGTGTTATGACTATGTTTTCAAGCCTATCGAGATCAACTTAAATTATTAGTGTACTCTGTAATAGTGAATTGGTTTCAATTAGAGTTGTATTACGAACTTATTTGACACGTTCAAGTTCTGTGTAGCTCCGTAAAAGTTATAATTTTGTTTGAAGGCTTGTTATTAAAATGTCTGATACATCTAGTGAATGTGATCAAAGCGGACCATCAACATCTAAAAAACCAAAAAAGGTACATTATAAACAAAAATTCAGAGACGAGTGGTTAAGAGACAATAATTTCAAAAATTGGCTGCGACGTGACCCAAACGACCCATATCGTGCTGTTTGTGTTTTGTGTGATGCTAAAATTATAGCTGACAGAGTGGCGATAAAGAGACATGGTGAGGGTGCTAAGCATGTAAAAAAAAACTACTGCAGTGCCAAGACAATCTTCGATTGCCACTGCGTTTGAAAAGACTAAGCAGTCCGATGATGAAAAATGCAAATCATCAGAGATAAAGTTAGCCGCTTTTATGGCAGAGCATAAAATATCTCTCAGGGCGATGGACCACTTAATTAATTTATTGCCCATTATGTTTCCTGACTCTCAGATTGCAAGAAATATGAAAATGAAGAGAACGAAATGTCAAGCAATAATAAACAATATTCTAGGTGAATCGGAAAAACAAGATTTGTGTGCTGATCTAAAGGAGCAAAAATTCTCAGTCATGATTGATGAAAGCACTGATATCGGAGCAGTAAAAACTATGTGCGTTGTGGTTAGATATTACTGTGCAATAAAAGGTCAAATAGTAAGCAGATTTTGGGACCTAATTCAAATATATGGCGAGGACAGCTCTGCTACTGTGGGTGCCGCCGCCACAGCTCAACATCTCTTCGAAGCAGTAATAAAATCATTTGAGGAAAATTCGATTCCTATTGATAACATTATAGGATTTGGATCAGATGGTTGTAATACAATGATGGGGTGTCACAACTCTGTTTCGAGCCGGTTTAGAGAAAAATGTCCTGGAATCATTGTTCTAAAATGTGTTTGCCATTCCCTACACCTTTGTGCAAGTGACGCATGCAAACAGTTACCAGCTGAATGTGAAAAGCTAACGCGAGATATATACAATTATTTTGCGACCAGTAGCAAAAGACAGTCGCTACTAAAAGAGTTTCAAGTATTCACAGAAACAGATGTACACAAAATTTTGAAACCGGTTCAAACGCGATGGTTATCACTGAGTGCTGTAGTGCAAAGAATTCTGGAACAGTGGAATGCACTAACGTTGTTTTTTGATGGCAGATGGCTCGAAGACAATGAATGTTACGGAATACATGTGCAGTTAAATGATCCGGTAACAAAAGCATACTTTTTCTTCTTGAACTGGATGCTACCAAAATTCACTGAAGCTAATACGCTATTTCAGAGTGAGATTCCAGTGATCACAAAACTGAACTCTAAAATGTGCGATCTTTTTTACGAGCTTATATCGACGTATATGACAACGGAACTTATAGCAACCACTCAACTAGAAAACGTTGACCCAAGTAATGAAAATAATTTCAAAAGTTTAGATGATATCTACCTTGGCTTGGGAGTATCTAAACAGTTTTCAACAAATGAAATATCAACAGAAAGAAAAATGGATTTCAAAAGAAAATGCCGAAATTTTTTGATCAAAGCGTGTATAGGCATTCGCAAAAGATTTGCGCTAAATGAGCCAGTGTTGGTCGAAATATCCAAACTAAACCCCGCAAGTTGTCTCAATATCGCAGATCGAGATGAGTCAATTCAAAAGACACTAAACTTGATGTCAAGATTGGCACCGACTTCTATGGACGAACAACAAGCTTTGGACGATCAATGGCGAAAATTGCCAAAGTTAAAAGAACAATTCGATACAACAATACGGCCTGACGAATTCTGGCACAAGGTTTGTATCCAATACTTTATATTTATTATATAAATACTCGTTTAACTATTTATTTTGTTTGCAAAATACAATATTTTTATTTTAACACAAATTTTGTTTTTCAGGTGAAACAGTTGGAAGAGTTCAGCACGATTGGAAAATACATGCTCAATATCTTGGCTCTTCCGAACTCTAACGCGGAATGCGAGAGAATGTTTAGCCAAATTAACGACACTAAAACGAAGAAACGAAATAGATTAATAACTAGAACAATAAGAGGTAACATGTTAGCGCAACAAACGGTTAAACGTAATAGCACGAATTGCATTAATTTTAAACCAGCTGAGAAAATGATAAAGTTATTTAATTCGGGGATATATAAAACTGAAACGGCTATCGGACTAAATGACAGCGACAGTGAATGACAAGCGGTTGATTAGTAAACTAGAAAGTAAATTATCGCTTAAATTTAAATAATAAAAGTTTTTAATATCTACTGTAAAATTTACTGTATTTTATTTTTACTTCTACTGTAATTTTATTTCAAACACTGTATTTTTTTTCCCAGAACACTGTAATATCAGTTTCGTAATCTGGTAACACTGGTCATAAGTAAAGTGAGTTTCGAAATGACATAGGAATAGAATCTATAGAATTTCTACAATAAATGACGTGAATTCGAACACATGAGTGAATTCAAATTTAGGTCTAGAGTTTTATGGCATAAGTGAAGTGAGTTTCGAAATGACATAGGAATAGAATCTATAGAATTTCTACTACGTCATTTAACGTGAATTCGAACACACGAGTGAATTCGAATTCGGGTCTAGATTTTTAAAGAATCGCAGGGCAGATCGCTGAAATTACATTAAAACGACACATGCGTGTATTGATTTCAATAGGCAATTTGACTACTTTTGAAAAATCGTTTTCAAATATTCTTTATTACATAATAAGAGCATTAAATTAATATTTCGGAGAAATTTACTGTACTTATAGATAAAAATCAAAGTTTAAGTCATACGCCGCCATTACTCCGCGCGAGACGTCGTCGGAGTTGCAACCATTTACAAGGCGTTTTTGTCTCAGATAAAGTGAAATATGTGTTATTTATTACGCTATTATCTTATACGATGACTACAATTATTAGTATATTTTTAATGTTGTCAAATACCCTATTTAAAATAAATACGTGCCCGGCACGAAAGTACACCCTCCACAGCAAATGAAAACAGGTATGAAGTACGAAGGTGGAGAAGTGTGCGGGGGGAGAAACTTAGCCCTAGCAACAGAGCCTAGTGTCAACCCGCGCTCGACAATTTTCCCGCCATTAGTAAATGTATTTGTCTTTGTTAAGTATACTCAAGAAATAAAGTGACTTATCACTATACTGAATTTTGTCGTTTTTGATGCAACTTTTTGGCTTTGGATTTTTAAATCACACTCAAATATAATATTTAATTAAACAACACCAACAAATATACAAACACAATACATTTGTTACCTATTAGCTATAATTAACACTCCTATTATCACACTAGCGCCAGAGTATTCTATTGACATTGTAGTGATTTGGTAGTAGTAGTTTTGTCTATGGGCCAGGCGAACGAACTAAACCATTCAGCCATGTAGTGATTTGGAATCTAGTAAATATTGTTAACCAGTAAACGACGTTCTAAATCAGTAGACGTTTAGTAAAGATTGTTTTATTCAGTTTATAAATAATATTCATTTAAGAATAAGCGTTTAACGTTTTCAATTTTTACCCCGATTTTATCTACGGAATGTTGGGTTTCTTTACTTAATATAAACTTTTTTTACGGATTAAAGATATGTATTTATTTAAAAATTTCCGCCGTCCAGTTGTATGCACGTGTAGGTGTGGAGGTGGTCAGTCCAGTCTGACGTTAGCGTTGCCGTGGCCGCGCGCGCCCAGGCCGGACACGCGGAAGGTGGCGCCGGCGGGGGGCGCGGGGGGCGCGGGGGCGGGGGCGCGCTGCAGCGCCGCGCTGGTGACGTAGAGCTGCCCCCGCCCCCGCCCCCCCCACGTGGCCGACGTCACCTGCAGCGCCGGCATCCGCACCGTCTGCAATATCTCGCCCGCTCGAGGGTCTATTTTGATCACCTGCCAGACATAACGACCATATAAAACACTAGCTTTCCGCCAGCGGCTTCGCCCGCGTGCTCTTGTATTATACATAAAACCTTTCTTTTGAATTTTTCCTTTTCCTTTTGAAAAGATTAAAGCATACACAGGTATATAGGGGCAGAGAAAGCGACTTTCTTTTATACTGTGTAGTGATGTGCCGATGTCGGAACTCTTGCAATAAATCAAATCTCCACAAACGATTTTAATCTTTAATCAGCTGAAGATTAATTTTAAAATTGGTCGCAGGAATTTAACTTTTCATAGTTGCAGCCGACGTCGCCCGCGTCCGACGTGAGAGATGTTTTTTTAAAATCGGTCCAATAGTTTCTGAGTCTATTCGATGTAATCGAACAAGCGATGTAAACTTTTCTTTATATGACATAAGTATACCTAAACTATAGACAAATGAATGAGGAACTTTATGTTATTAGGCGTTCTGGAAAACTAAATCGGAAAGTTAAATGACAAAAATTGAAAACTACAAGCGAGCTATTACAAACTGTACCACACCTGGTAGTTATCGAAGTTGGCGACCCACAGATTGCCGTCCGTGTCTATGGTCATGCCGTCCACTATGCCCTTCAAGCCGTGATCAGAGTATTTGAAGATCAACCGCGGGTTACCTAAACGAACACATTTCCAAATAATGGCACATTTTCTACAATCCATAGGGCTCAGGAATCCCGCATGCGGGTTCTGAGCCCTATAGATTTCTGTCGACTAATATAAATGAGCTATAACAATATGATAAATTGCATATCAAAAATACAATATTTCACACATATATCCTTCTTTTCTTACAGCTACATTTCTTTCACACTCGCGCTCATAATACGTCACATGTAAAATGAACACTGAAAAACTAAATATTTGTACGAGCGTACATCAACAGTGGGAATATTAATGTATTATGTAATAAAACGACTCACATATGTGACCGGTCTCAATATCATAGTCGTATCTCCTTATGGCGTACTCGAACGAGTCGGCGTAATAGAACGCCTTCTCCTTCACATCCCAACAGAGGCCGTTACTGATGTCTATGTCTGACGCTACTCTGTGAACTGTTCCGTCGCTGTCGATGCGGTACAACGAACCCTTCTTCAGTTTAAACTTGCCAGGCTCGTACTCGTGACCCATTGTACCTTAACATGACGGTAAATAACCGGATATAGTATGTTGTGAGTTGAGAGACCCCTGAAAATTAATGAAATCTAGGCTAGCGGCTCTACCGCGTCTAGGATAGGAGAAGCCAATCCCGATTGGATTGGTTTGTTGATAGAGATAGGTTTGACAAAGCAATCCTGATTGGATTGGTTTACTGACAGCTAATCTGTAATCTGACACATGATTCCGGGCCTTATATTGACACGTCGATCAAGGCCTCAGTTTAAAAAAAAGTCTAAAATTAATTACTTTACTAAACAACACTAAGTCGGTAGGATTTGACTCTCTGCCTACTTTCTTATTCAAGAGGGGGCGTCCATAAATTATGTGAGGTGTTTTTTTTAAGTTTCTGTCCCTCCCTCCCCCCCTGGTGAGATGTCGTGAGATTTCAACCCCCTCCCCCATCCCCCAATCTCACATGAGATTTTTCAAAATGTGGGAATTTTCAAATTCAGTCATAGATTATTTTTATGGAAGCCAAATTTAAGTAAAAGTAACCAAAGAGTAAAAGAAGAAGAAGAATTCAATTATTTTCTTTCGAACGATTAAGTGAATGATCTAAATCGTATACGATTACGCTTAAGATTAAATCTTAAGCATGTACAATCTGGATTAAATGGAACAAAATAGTATATATTTTTTTTGTTTCAATGAGAAAAAAAATTGCGTGATATTTGCCGAGACCCCCCATCTCTCCAACGTAAGATTAGATGAGATTTGACTCGACCCCCTCCCCCCCTTAAACATCTCACGTAATTTATGTACGCCCCCAGACATGTGCTGACATTTTAGCTCCTGTTTTGACTCATCTTATTAACCTCTCATTTAAGCAAGCACAGTTTCCAGTTGCGCTAAAACTCTATAGTTAAACCAATACACAAAAAATAACAAGCTAGACATTAATAACTATCGACCTATTTCCCTGATCTTCATACTTTCAAAAATATTTCTGGACCTGAAAAGCATTAGGTCGGATGTGCAGAACCAGCTAAAATCACTTATCGCCATAACGTTGCTACACTCTTTTTTCTCTTTCCGGCAAATTAACTCTTGTATGTTTGTGCCTTTTTACTCATGAGCAACAGTCATGCATAAAGTCGGATCAGACGACTTTTTCAAATATTTTGATTGCATTTAGCTATTTCTGTTTTTATACAGTTATGCCTAAGATTCCCGACATCCGACCTAATGCTTTTCAGGTCCAGATTTGAGAAAACGTTAGTTAGCCGCATTTTTAGCTTTTTGCAAAGAATAGAGTCATTGCTTAGGAACAATATGGTTTCCAAAAGGATAAATCCACCTCACTCGCAGAATTTATGTTAATGAGGTTTGTTACATGTAACATAGATAAGAAGACTCCAACTATAGCGTTATTTTTTGGTATGACCCAAGCTTTTGACCTCGTTGATCATGACATACTGTTACATAAATTACATTACTGTTACATTAAATTACATCAGTAATGCTCTGGGCTGGCTGATGGATGAGTTACAGAAAGAATTATAAACAGTGTTTCGAAGTAACTAAGCTAAATGCGGACAGTGAAGTTATTCCATACAGATCTCCTTCTCTTCCAAATGAACGTGGTGTCCCGCAGGGAATTATAATTGGGCCACTTATGTTCCAAGTTTATATGAATGATCTATTAAAGTCACTTAATTATGAAACTATTATATTTGCAGATGACGTATCAGTCATAGTATCAGAGGAAAAACATTATGGTATTTCTATTTGTAATGGATTATGGTGTACAATAACATTCCTTTGCACGGTTCGCTACAGCTTCGCGTAAACAGTTAAAGTGGTTTATATTTTCCGAATATATAACAGAAACCTGTATTTTCAATTGTAGGACACAAGCCTGTTTGTATAGAAATTAATTAGTAATTTCTAAAACCGTTACCGCTACGACACCTGTGCTACTTGCCATACTCCAGCACCCAGTTCTCAACTGTGAACATAGAGATATTTTGTAGAGCAGTATTAGACTCACCAGCAAATAGCCTGCCCCTAGGATCAGCTTTAGCATCATTGAGCCTGTTGTCAGGACTGTGCTCGTCCACGGTCGCGATGGTCCGCAGTACTGTCGCGGCGTCATGTTCCCCAGACCAGTGAACCTCCACCACTCTCCTGTCCAGGCCCACTACGAAGTGGTGCTTTTTACCCTCCACCGGTATTATGAACGTCGGCATACCATCTGAGTAACGTAACAATAATATGACTCAATGATGCATTTACCCAGAAAGATAAATATCGAAGCAAATGTAGACCAATCTTAATGATTCAAGTATCTAGCCATCAATCCTCCAATATCGACGCGCTTGACTTCCGCTGAGCGAGTGAGATTGTCACCTAAGGCGTCGTATTTTACACCTCATGGTTATCGAAATAAGACTAACTATAGGTATATTTTAATTTTACTCTCGGTCATTGGAAGGATTGCTTTGCGCAAAGGGAGTTTTTTGCTGTACCAGTTGGAGTCTTAACTGTACTTCAATATTTATCTAAATTTGTTGTAGATTATCATGGATTATTTACAGCCAGGCCGGCACCCTCCGGCGCCCCCCAAGGTGTGGCGCCCGGGTGCATCGCACCCCCTGCACCATGGGTAAAGAAGGGCCTGTTTACAGCATTCGGACTCTCGAAATGGGATATAATAATTAACCCCAAGTCAGCAGTAAACAGCAGTAATTATAATGGTTGCGAGTCTTGTTCGCATGTGATAATATCAGTCTTAGTTGCGTTATAAAAAATTATTTTATGTTGGATGCATGCCCTATACACTTCTGAAAATGACGCTTCGAATGTGGGGCATATAGCAAGCGTTAGAAATTTTTCTCAAACATCGCATGCGAGCCGTATCGGCCAGTAAAAATATATACTTATAATAAACATTTGTGAGGGACATATATAACTGATATCTTTAAAAAAAGATTATCAGATATCGATTATAGTATTGTGATTTATTGTTACGTCAAAACGATATTATATAATTTATAACAAAATATTTACAACTCTAATAGCGAAAAGATAGGATAAATCAAAGTTTAACATTTCTGCCAAAACAAAAGTGTGTGATACTAATCAAACGATTGTTATCAAATATTAATTGCTGTTAAATAACGAAATACATAAGACCAATTTATGTTAAAGCTATTCAAAATCCCTCGTGTGACGACATAACGTTGTACAAGGTGGTCCTATATAATATCTAGGTTCTGATGATGGAGCTAGATAGAATAATAATACAATTGTAACTAATACATAACAGTTCTTACTATGTGTCTTTCTGTTATGTATTCACGACTAAACTGTCTGTCCGTGTGTCTGTCTGTTATATCACGATTAAACTACTGAACTAATTTCAATGAAATTTGGTACACAGATAGAGTAGAGCTTGGGCAAGGGCATAAGGATGGTTTCATCGCGAAAAATAAACAACTGAATTCCACGCGGTCGAAGCTAGTATTTTGTGAGCTTAATGTATAAAGTGTGTTGTACACACCTAGTGTTGCGGTGGTGTGCGTGTTGTCAGCGGGCAGGTACTTGTGTATGGTGCGGTCGAATATGCTCACGAAATATAACGCCTGCTCCTCCTCATCCCAGTGAGGACCCTCGCCCAGACGCACGGGTGACGTCACCGCCTCCACACACACCTCCATCTACATACACACACGCACACATAATCATCATCATTGTCAGCCTTAGATAGAATTATAGAGATTTACGTAGACCCTACTAGTGCACATGGCTGCACGTCAGATTACCACAAAATGTCAAATACCCCCAATTGATTTCATAGTTTAAAATCAATTGGAGAAATGCGACAGTTTAGTAAGACCTGACGTGTTGTTAATATACAGGGTAGAATTTAAAGCTTTTGATCCCTACATAAAATAGAATCTGTGAAACTGAACACAAAATCTATATTTACGAATCACCATCATCGGCTTATCGTCTTATCGTCTCCAGTGCTAGAGCAGAGGCTTTGCCTATGGATGAAATCGAATCACACTGAATAGGTAGATCATGACCTTAAGTCATAGCCCACGACCCACGCGGATCTGTGTGGATTTGGTGAGTGTTAACAATTGCAGATGTAGGATTTGCCTTCTGAATCAAGATGTAGTTCGATATGATAAGTTTTTGTAACTTCTCGCGGCTATGTAAGACGATAGAAGACTACCATGCAGCAAGACATGGTGTGCTGGTAAGTATGTACTCGCTCGATCCATCATTAGGTTATAAATTACCACACTAATGACAGTAACGTGACTATCAAAGTCACGTTACTGTCATTAGTCGCTTATCAGTAGCTGATCGCAATACAAAAAAAAATATTGAAAACAACATAACGAGCACTAAATAAATATATATTTTGTCCTCATCCACTCATAAGCCAGAAGTATAAGGGAGTAAAAAAAAATGGTAAACTACTCGAAAGACTAAAAGTTTTGGGAAACTAAAAAAAAAGCTCTTGACAGCTCAGAATATTGTATATATTAAAAATTGATATTGCAATATACAATATTGTATAATATATACAATATACAGTATTGTATAATATATACAATATTCTGTCGCCAAAACATGTTCTGTTATTAGATGACACTAAAATGCATTCAATTAATTTGACTGAATAGAAAATATTTGCATTTTTATATCATAAATAATAAATAACTGATCTACTTACAGCGTGCTTTGCTTCCTCCTAAAGTTATAAGGTACCGAGACAGACTTCGACTAGCAGCTAACGAGTGTACCTACTGAAACGCGGCCCGATCTGTCGTGCCATTAACGCGAATGTTATATATTTACGAGTAGAATATCTAATCAAACAAATCGACATCAAGATACGACGCTCGCATCTCGATTACAATATGGCAACATTTCGAATATGTGTCTGTGGTATAAGCACAAAAAAGTAATCACTTTAGACATTTTGTTTATTTGTACTTGATAGTGTGTATTGATGAGACAAAAACATCATGGTTATTCTTCCTATTTATTGTTTAGTTTGCCCATCACTATTTGACGTACCTACAAATACTTATCCCCATATCAATATTATCTAAACCAGTGATTGCCTAAGTGGTCCAGGTGGACCCCCAGGGGTCCACAGGGGATTCAAGGGGGGGTTTACGTTGCCGTGAAATAAAAATAGAAGAGGCGAATTTAGGGTTGGAACTCACCCGCGACGCCTATTTCCATCATATATTCGACGCCTATTGCCAAAAATGTAGCATCAGGGGGTCTACGAGAAATATTTGTTTGGGAACCTCTAAAATCTACAAAATCACAGAAGAAATGTGTAACGATAATGTTCTAGATAAGATTCGGTCAGATTACTTACCAGTGGCGGCTTAGCGACAGCGTCTGCGCTCGTCGAGTGATCTAATTATGTTATCGTTAATGAGGATCCGGTAATGGAACCCTCAACAACTCCATGCCGTTCCCATAAACGCACACCGTGATGGAATCCCTGTAAAAGTATACAATTCTAAAATACCCTTTATAAACTAAAGAAACAGTGTATTTTAAAAACATAACATAAGATCACTTTTCTACGGTCTAAGGAATATTAGTAAAATAGATTTACTTTTATATAATTTAAAACTTACTAAATTTATTTTGTAATCAGAAAATTAGGCAAGAAAATTATAATAAAACACAACATTATCCTTACATATTAGTATCTATAACATTCAGTCCTTGCACATCAGCTATGTCACTGAATAGTTGCGTCAGAAATTCGCACGAAATCCCATGATCATCAACAGACCATCTTAGTAATGTCACCCTTTGATCTATGGAGGTTGTTAATAAAAACTCTTTGACAAACAACACTCCCGTTATTTGCGAACAATGGTACTTATCCATACATATAGAATACTTAACATGCGTATCATTAAAAGAAGGCACTTCGATTAATGATAATATTACAGCATTGTCATCGCCTCCAGTAGCAACCAGGAGCTCGGTATCAGATAAAACTCTTGTATCGATACTGTTTATTCCAGATTTATTAGTTCGCGTACTGAAGAATGGTGCGATTTCTCTACCAAATTTTAATGATACATCCCATAATGCAACCTCTCCTATAGTTGTGCACGTTATGAGAATGTCCCTCTCAGAAAATTTTACACAAACTGTTCTTAAAATGCATGTTTGATGATGTTTCAATTCCTCAATAAGTGCAAATGTTTCTTCGATAAAAACAAATATTCTCAAGTAAGAATCTGAGCAGCCAGCAAATATTACAATTTTGTCATCGTCTGGTTTGATCACATCGAGATCCATGATCCTGGTTTCAGGATCAAAATCAACAGTACTGTTTCTCCAAGTTTGGTTGTTTTTTCTCTGTTTGTCTGTTCCTTTGGTCATAAAGTCTACCATTTCTTCAGACAGTACTTTTAAATGATTATCTTTTCGTATAATGTTTATCAGTCTCAAGCAAATTTGAGCTCTACCCCCAGCAGATGTAACAAGTATGCCATTACGAAATTCTGTTAATTTCAATGTTCTTACATTAGACAAATGTTTGTATACTACTTCATCTTGAAACTCAAGGTTTGCGTTAATGGTGGATATTCTTAACGTCGTGTCTTCACCACCAGTCACATAAAAAGTCACTAGTGGATCTACCTCACTTTTAAAAGTCTTCAGACAATTTATTTCTTTTGAATGCGAACTGTTAGTTATATTTTGTGACGATATTTTGCTCATTTGGAATAGCCTAGAGTGAATATCAGTATTTTTTATATAAACAAGTTTTATATACTCTTTGTAATCATTACCAGCTCCATCTACGTATCTGACCACATCCCAGGATCTGTGCCCACCACCACATATAACTTCTAGGAGTCTATTATGATTCTTAATATCATAAATAATAAAAGTTCTCTCTTGAAATCCACACACAAGATTTTCGTCTTTGTCTATAAATTTTTCAACCCATTGGAATTCTAAATCTTTATTATTCATGAATTTAGTTAAAGATTTATTATCTTTGTTAATGAAAAAGTATTTAATAGTTCCATCACGACCTGTTGTTATAAAATCATGGTCTTTTATTGTAATAGACGTGGGTCCATACCTTCCGTGAACTTTACTGAATGATTTATACGGATTTTTGATTCCTATAAAATAAACATGAACATTTCCACATCTGTCCCCTACCACTATGCATCTATTAGTTGGATCCATTGCTGCAGAAGTAAGCCACCTTTCTTTGCATGATGGAAGTACAAAGACAGCAGAAGTCTCTACATCATTGTTTTGGGAACTTATTACTGTGATAACACCCTTTTCTCCACAAAAAACTAGATGTCTATTTCCAGCCCAATGCATAGATAATATATTGCCTAGATCTAACTTAGAGTCTATTACATTGGTAAGATTTGCTACATCTTTGCAATTTTCGGCAAAAACATTAAGTCGCCCATTCTTATCGCCAACTGCTACTAATTGTTTACAGCTAGATATGCTAAACAATTTGTATGTTGATTCATGTTTTAGTTTGAATGTCGTTTGAGTATTGTCATTTATATTAAAATGAACTAGATTATCATTGTCATCTAAAATCACGAGGTTTTTTCTAGCAGTAAAAGCAATTTTCTTTGGAGTTACGTTAAAGTTGAAAGATTCATTATGACCATTATAGAAAGCCTTTGTAAGTGGATGAATAATCACAGCGCCATCACCCCCACCAGTAGCCACATGAGATTCATCAGCATCTATGGACCAAATACATCCATTTTGATGACTCATAACTTTTTTCATTAATTTTCCTACATAATTCCAATAACAGATGGCAGAATCCTCTCCCACAGATATTATTGTTCTATTAGTAATACAACTTCTCATAACTCTAGCTGCATGCCCATATAATTCATGTTTACATTTTATACTGATACTTCGCCAGTAATTAACTGTATCTACTGCCATACTGGATGAGGATGTTCTCAAATACATACCCCATATCCTGACAGACCTATCATCAGAAGTAGTGACAATAATTCCTTGTTCCAAGTTTACAGATATGGAAAATATTACCCCCTAAAAACGAAAAATTAAATTAACATTTTCAATATAAATTATAGAGATCAGATCACTTTTAAGGACTGCTAACAGCATTTCAGTTTATAAAAAACTGTCAACTGTCTCCATTCCATTTTTACATTATATTGATCATAAATGTTCTTATTGTTAGAGTAGTTGTATAAAATGTATATTTATGTATGAATTAATTTTTCTATTTGGGCAAAATTCTTTTTGAAATTTTTAGTTTTTCAATCTATACTGATATTATAAAGAGGAGAAATTTGATTTCTTGTTTATTTGCGTTGAATAGGCTATGAAAATACTTGAATGATTTTAAAAATCATTTCACCTATGGGTAGCTGCAACATACTGGGTTGACATGGGATATAATTTACGCATATGAAGATATGAGAAAATAACTTGTTGTTAAATACATCTGGTGCTATCTATTCTAGCTATAGAATTTAAGAAATAATTTTATACAATAAAATATTTAAGTATATACCAAAAGGTATTGTACTGTTGTGAGTTGCGGATTATCTTGGGTTTATACAGCCCAGTATCACTGCGACCATTGCTGATCTATTGTGAACTCCACATACTACAGTTACCAAAAGGTAAGTAATTGTACTAGTGATGACAGTGCTTCAAACACCCGAAAATATAGAAACATTTATTAGAGTTGAATTGGGAATCTAAAATAACATTATAAAACTGCAATAAAGTATGATAAATAAATCCTTATCATTTAAACAGTTAATATTTTAGAAGAACCCTCAGAGCTATATAACATTAGAAAACATACCCGATGCCCTTTCAAGTAATGTAGAGGTTTTTCAAGTGCAGTAGTGTGTATGATAATTTCTGAAAACACAGTCCCAGATAACACCAATATGCCATCTTGCAAAGAGAGTAAAAGGCCACTGTATAGAATGGAATTTTCATTGCTCGAGTGTTGTGAAATTAAACTGTTTTTACAAACATCCCAAACCTGTGAAAAAAGTTTTAAGCTATTATTAAAAGAACTCTACCTTTTTGATTTTAAGTCTATAAATAATTATTATAATGAGTTATTTACAAACTTTGCATAAAAATGTACATTTTTTCCCAGCATAAAAAATATCTCATATTTTTGGTATTCTTAATGAAAAATGTTTAAAAAAAAAAAAAAAAAAACCTCTCACAAGTCACAATATCCTCTTGGTACCTGAACCTGAGATAAGATTCGAACCCATGACCTTTTGCAATCTGGGCAACTGCTCTAACCCATGACCAAACAGGGCTGACATATCAGGGTGCCAGGGATTAAATGGATTTTTTAAGCATTTTTCATTATCTCATTATGATTGCGAAATTGATCAAAAATAATTTTTGGGTATTGTCAATATACATATAAAAGATACTAATACCATTCCAAAACCAAAATGACAGAAAATTAAATTTTTTGCTATTAATATTTCTCATATTTTATATCTACACATAGTCATTATTATATCAATATTATAAATTGTAATAAGACAATAACTGAAATTCGATTATTGATCATTGTTTGTTAATATTGAGTAATACTAGATTTCTTTACATTAAAGATCTGGTTCAAAAACAATTTGAAAACATTATAATTAATTTATAAACCTATATTTGTAAACTTAAACATACTGTTGTAAAATTTACCTCAGACAGTATTTATGCTTTGTACAAGCCCGAAAATCACTCTAGTTTCTAGTTGCTATTTGCTTTGCTAATAACACCTTTACAGAAGAAAAAAGCTAAGTGTTATTTTTTTATAAATACATATAGCAATGAATATTTATGTACAGTACCTGTACAGTATTATGAGCTGTCAAGATAGCAATGGATTCATCTGTAATCCAGGCAACAGAATGTAACCAATCAATGCAAACTCTAGGCTCAACAGTACGAACAATTTTCAAATCATCTTTATCATTTGAGTATTCCAGAGACAATATACTGTACTGTTTGCCGCCGAACACAAGTATTTTATTACTGATTTTGTAAGGCACAAGTCCATATATTTTTTGTCCATTTAAACATATTATATTAGTTAACAATCTGTAGTTATCCTTTGAGTAAATATAGACGGAGCTACCAATTCCTGTAAAATGAGAAAATTTTACTTTTAGACAATGATGTCCGAAAACTATGACATTAATTAGTTTAATTTGCCTTACCAGCCAGTATATATTTATGATACAACTTTACTGCAGTCACATCTGTGCGTATCAATAAAGACATTTCAGGTTTTTAGTAATAAAATAATTTAGGCTGAAATAGTGATTTCCTGTGTATGTAGTATTTTTTTACTTTTTTAAAAACACGAGGAAAACGATGTGAAAACAAGCCAAAATTGTTGTCTTGTTAGGGATGTAAATAACCGATTATTAAAAAATCGTTAATTTTTTCTATAAATTGTTTTTTTGTAGATAATATTTTTTTATACCATATAAATTCATTTTTAAACCACTATTTCATACCATACGTTCGATTTTTAATAGGTTATTTAATAGGTTGCAGCTTTGAATTCTTATTTGATATTTTCATTAGACGGTTTTAAAAATTCGTCCCTCGTTTAACTTTAAACTTTGTTTTTATTAAATATTAAATTGAAACCCGTTAACTTGTGGTGTTTTGCATAGAAAAATTTCAACTAAACGTCCAAAAAGCTTTATAATAAACGATAGTAGTAGAAGTGCAAAGTGTAAATATTGCCCTTAAGAATTTAAAACGTGCAGCAATACAACAAATTTAAAGTAGTATATTGAAAGTAAGTATCCTAACGCAGTAAATTATTTCTGTTTATCTAGTATTTTTTGGTTTTGCTGAACATATAAAGGTGATTGTGGTAGAGTTAATATATAAAGTTATTTATTTAATTTAAAAAATCGATATTTTAAAAGAATATATTTTTGGAAAATTGATTTATTTGGTAAATAAAATATCGATTAATATAAAAAAAATTTTTTTCCCCTCACAAGTCACAATATCCATTTTTTTATCTACCCAAATTTTTGCAAATGCTCCAATACAGTTTTGTAACTGCCGATGTTGTTTCGCTTTTTAAATTCGCATTATATCCGTAATAGGGTCACCAGACTTATTTGTCTACGGGGCCTCCAACCCGAATTTATAATGTGATCAAGGAACTTCGCAGCCCCTCAGAATAGGAGGCCAAGGGCGGCCCGTCTCCTCTGACTCCCCCTTAGTTCGTCACTGGTTAAATGTAAATAAACTTTATAAAAAAAAAATTGAATTTTCATATAAAAAATACATCTTTTTCCCCAACCTATAAAAAAATATTTTATTTACTGCCTAAAGTATAAGCCTAGTTACTTAGAAATTTTAAAAATAATAGTTCATATGTTTATTTATATTATTTTTGTGTGCAAAAATTTGTTGTAATGTAAATGTACTCGTACAATGTTTAATTATCTTATGACAACAGGAAGGAGCAGTATCAAAACGAGCGAACGAATTGCCTTAAAATAATTAAATATAAGATAGATCATTCGCTCGTTTTAAAACTGCGCCTGCTGCAAAGAGCTAGTAATCTGAACGAACTACTAGAGTAACCTAATTCGTCTAGGAGTCACGAACTAACTCGTTCGATCTCAGTTGCGAACTATTACCACACTATTACGCCCAAGACTATTGTTTTGTTAATTTATTAGTGTCAATGTCAATTTCATTCTTGTTTTCAATGAATAGCTTAAGGATCTACTTTCTACAGCCGTCTCTTTTCCTGTTGTACTATAAGTTAACACATTTGAAACATTGACGAGTATACACTATATTCACTTTAATGTTGTGCGTTTTGAAGTTAGTTATAAAGTGATTAGTTAATTTCTCTTATGTAGGCGTTCCGAAAAGAGACTTCAGATCGATTATAAAACAATATGCAATAATTAAATAATGCATTTTGAAATATATAACAATTGGGTTTCAAGTATTCTTGTACAAATGTAAATGTAGTATTATTCAACCACTTCATTTTCTCATCAAAAACAAAATCATAGACTGCTTTTAACTGACACATCTCATGCCCGCGAACAAAGTAGTGGAGTACGGAAGATGTGAGAGAAGGGGTCACTTCGCATTAAACTCGTAAAAATCGGGTTTATTTATAACAGATCTCATTATCTAGGTAATAAAAACTCATAGTTAAATGGAATCTTTATTCATTAAGTTAACATTGGGCTGTGTAAATTTCAATTAAAACGACAAAAACTATTCCGGTTGATATTTATCAAGTGGATAATGTTCTCCATAATTTTTAAGATGATCTTCCATTTGTTTGACTTGTTTTCTGAAAAAATGAAAAAGGCCATTATGTCAATATTACATCACATAATTAAAAACAAACACAATAGTACAACAGGATACTACAAATTTGTTTTTTTTTTATTCACTCAGAAGAAACTCGCTCTACAGACTAATATTTCGCGCCTTTCAGTGAACAAAATACTGCAATATGATCTGAGCCGTAGAAAAGTTCACTTTTTAAACGATCGTCTTCGTAAGTTACGACGCGACCGTTGGTCATTGCTGCTGAGGAGACATGATGCCAGGAAGATACTCATCACCGACAAGAACATTTTTACTATCGAAAAAAGGTCAAACGACAAAACAATAAAGTGTAGGTATGCTTAAAGTAGCAAGGATGTCCCAGCTTCTGTACGGAATGCCTCGCACACTCATCATCCGGCTAGTGTGATGGTATGGTGGTGAGTTTCGTATGAACAAGGTGTTAAGGTAAAAACTAAGAATTATCAGAGTGACATTTTAGAGCCCGTGGTAAAACCCCTGTCTGCTACGTTATTTTACAATAAGGATTGGGTTTTTCAGCAAGACTTGGCGCCATCCCATAAGGCAAGCAATCAAAACGTACCCAAGCTTGGTTGAGGGCGAATGTGCTGGCCTTCATACTCTCACCTCAACCCGCTGGATTATTCTTTATGTACTGAATTAGAGTTTAGGGCCTGCCGAAAGTCCCAACTAAACTTGGAGCCACTTAAGCGAACCCTGTTTAGAAAAGCAAAGCGAATTCCGCTAGAAAAGATTCGTGCCGCCGTTAATGACTGTCTAAGGACCTGTATTAAAAACAAGGGCGGTCATTTAGAATAAAATATATATTTTATTGTTGATTATTATCTATTCAATGGTTACTGTAAATTTTAGAAATATAAGTTAATTATTAAAAAAGTTACGCAACTTACATTTCGTCTCAAAACTTATGAAAACGCGAGGTAGTTATAGTTGAGAAAAGTAATAGAGTTACAAACCTACTTGAGTTTTATCATTCTTGATTACTTCATTCAAATTCTTGTTTAAGTATTTATTAAAAATATCTGCTTATGATAAGATATATTCTCAATTAATTATTTCTCTCGTCTATAGGTACGAGTAGTGTATGTTCTAGTCAAATAATCGTTTTTTGAGATTCTTGCTCGCATACAGTTTAATTTTAGCGTTCTAAATGTTGTTTTAAAAGGCTGCTCGTTAAATTAACTGCTCGGCTCGTTTAATCCACCGACGTTATGACGTTGGCATCCGCCAAGAAAGGATTTTGATCAATTCTATCCTCAAGGGGATAAATAGGGGATGAAAGTTTGTATAAAACTTTGTCAATTTTAAGGGCTGAGATTTTGCATGCATAAAGCTACTATGACGTAAGCATCCCCTAAGAAAGGATTTTGATAAATTCCACCCCTAAGACTTTTTTTTCAGGTATTTTACACGATATAATGAATAAATATTCGTTAGAAATGCTGCTCAAAGTAACTTTACCACGCGGACGAAGTCGCGAGCAAAAGCTAGTGTTATATTAAATCTTACCTAAGTACATAACTTACAAGTTAGAACTAGTTATTATGCTATTAGTTTAAAATTATTATTTTAAGACCCTTTACAAGAGGAGAGAGTGGACCTTGGAAAAGGACAGGTAGAATAGCTTTTGTCCCGAAAAATATTCCACGCGGGCGAAGCCACGGGTGGTATCCCTTGTTTTATATAATTTATTTAAATAAATGACTGCATCATTGGCGTAAAAAAAAAAACATGAAAAACCGATTTACTTTTGATTTTAAAACAACATTTACGACATTTAATAAATGTGTATACGAATATCCCGCTTACTATCTTTCATTCCAAGGTTCGTGCCCTTTTTATGCTAATTTGAATGAGATAGTGTGCAAAGAGATGGGTATCAGTTTTTCAAGGTTAACTTAAGCGAAATTTCCTGCAAATACTATGAATAAAAGATAAAAAGTTTATTAAAGTAATAGCGGCCTTCTTTAGAACAAATGTATTTTTTTATTGTGTATTTGTTTTAAATGCTTAATGAGGAGTTACTAAAAATACTGACTGAATCCTTGGGGGCATCTCGTAGTATACGTCCTCCAACATTTCCTTCCACGGTGGCAATTTTTTCTTTTCTGCCTCCTGCATAGTTTTGACAACTCGGTTTCGGGCCTCCTTAAACAACGCCTCGTCCGACTCAACGTCCCAGTATCCTTTGAATAAATCATCAATATAGAATGAAATTTCCAAAATGGTTTTATAATTCGGTGTTGATATTTGGACAAAATGCTAGTTCTGTTATAAAGCGATAATTGAAAACAGTTTTTTTTAAATCTTAACACTGTAATTTTGTTTTATTTCATATTCTCATTTTATATATACGTATTTTAAATTTATGTACAGTAGAACTCCAATTATCCGAATTAATGGGGACCGGGACCCATTCGGATAATCAAATATTCGGATAATCGGATTTTAAAAAAAAAAATTGCCATTGGAGAGAATAAAAGCTACGTTTTGATATTGCACTATTTTTTATTGAATTAAATGAAAGAAACATGAAATTTTCACATGTTTTAAATATAAATAAAATGTACTTATGTACAAGTTTAGAAATAAAAATCATTGTTTTTTAAACATCTCCGTCAATGTAAGCTGTTTTGCGGTCTTCAACCGTTTTCGGGCAGCCAGGTCACGCATTCGCTTGACGGTGAGCAGTTGCAAGTGGTCACACTCGGGCTGACGCACCATCCACTTCAAAGCAGTCTCGAGGCCGGCAAATGCTTCACTAGCTGATGGTCCAGCGTCTACTTCAACATCAGCAGAAAGTTCTTCTTCCACTTCCACTTCAACATCTTCTCTCACACTTACAACAATTTCATCGTCATTGAGAATTTGAAAACCAGGGTCAGACGTGTCACAAGCCATCCACTCTCCTACATCTTCAGCACTTACTTCTGTACAACCAGGAATTTTTACAATCATTTTTCTTATTTCCTCTAGTGACAACGCATCTTTATCATCATCATCCTCTCCATATTCTTGTTTCTCATTTTCTTCAGATTCTTTTTTTTTGTTCTTCTCAGACGGTAGGCCTTTCAGTTTATTCCACGCACGTCTTAGCGTCACTGCCGTAACCAAACTCCAAGCTTCCGCTACCATGTAACAGCAGTCCTTTAAATTTATTTTGCTATGATTTGCCAAAACCAATTCTTCATCTTCAGCACCTTCGTTCAGCAGTTTTCTCAGCAGTAGCCTTCTGTAATGGCGCTTCATTGTTTCAATAACAGACTGGTCCATGGGTTGCAGCAAACTTGTAACATTGGGAGGCAAAAACGTCGTTTTGAACTGCCCATTCTCTCTTTCCAACAGTTCTGCTGTAGAATGAGTGGGTGCGTTCCTTTCCCACCGATTTTTGGTGCTTTTTCACTTCAGGAATAAACACTTCATCATACCATTCGGTAAACAAAGCTGCAGTCATCGAGGCATTGGGTTGACTTTTGTAGAAGAGTGGAAGTTTTTTTACGTTTTTAAATGCTCTTGGATTTCTTGATTTTCCTATCAAAAGAAATGGCAGTTTATGATTTCCAGTGGAGTTGGCACAGTTAAGCACTGTAACACGTTCTTTACTGACCTTATGTCCAGGGGCACTAGATTCCCTTTTAGAAGCCAAAGTGGTTTTTGGTAATGCTTTCCAAACAAGGCCAGTTTCATCGGCATTATAAACAAACTCCGGATCATAGGATTCTGATGCAGTTTAAAATTTTTCAATAAAATTTTCAGCAGCTGCAGAGTCTGCTGAAAGCTTCTCACCAGCCAAATCTAACTCGCGTACACCATGCCTGAATTTAAAATTCATTAGCCAGCCGTTACTAGCCTTAAAAGATGAATAACCAAGCTTTTCTGCAAAGATTTTGGCTTTTTCACAAAGGATTGGATCTGAAATCGGATTTCCCATAGAACGTTGCTGCAAAAACCATTTAAACACGGCATCTTCCAAATTTTTGTTGGTTGCTGTCTTCATTGTTTTCCTGGAGGAACTTCCATCTTCATTTTCAAGCACCGAAACAAAGTTTAAAAGTGTTGACTTACTGTTTTTAATGTCAGAAATTGTTGCTTGTCCAACACCATAAATCTCAGACAACTTCTTACCCGTTACACCTTTATCGAGTTGCTCTATAATTTTCAGTTTGTCCGCTAACGATAGCACAACACGTTTTCTTTTCGAAGCCATGGTATAAAAACAATACAGTATTGTACACGCACAAACAAAAGAAGGCCGTAGCGAAAGAGTAGCGTCCTCGAGCAAGGTCAATAGCACACTGGCTAATCAAAACAAACAATGACAGGTGCGCCGTGACTGCAATGCGCCGGAACTTGTCTTAACTTGCCGTTGTGCCTACACACGCGGGGGGAAGTCAGTGTAGGCACAACGGCAAGTTAAGACAAGTCAAGTCAAGACTTGACGCGCAAACACTGGCTTCGCGGGGGGGAGAATAATAGCGCACTTAGACTTTTTTTGGACAATTTTTTGTGATTCGGATAATCGGCGATTCGGATAGTCGGAGTTCGGATAATTGGAGTTCTACTGTATAATAATATTTTATAACATTTATATAGAAGCAGTAGGCATACATATAAGTAACTTAGACGCAAAAGGCGGCGATATTGCTAAGGCAGCAATTTTTCCCAGACTACGCATGGTTAAAGCATGCTTTTTAATTTTGTATAGTCCTTGGTAAGTCCAGATTAGATACAAATTGTACTACTCTGATGTGATAAAATTAACGGTTAATAAACCCTTGCAGGGCAATAATAAATATTAGACAACATCACATCGATTGATCAGCTCCCAAATTAGTTAAAGCGCTTTTATTATGAAACTGAAACAACGAAGGTAACACAACATCCAGACTCGAGTCAATATAGAAAGGTAATTTTCAGGGTTCCGTATCTCTAAAGGAACCCTTATAGGTTCACTTTTAAGACCACTTTTCTTAGGAACGCGTGAAGGTTTTCGAGCTGAAATTTATATCAAATACTCAGGTCTACCGTGCCTTGAAGCTGCGAAACTGGAAAATCAAACTTCTAAGCCAACGCAATCAAAAGATATAGCCGTTTATGCCGCAAATTGAAACTCGCAAAGCATCAAAAATTCTCCATGTCGCAAAGCAATCATAACCTCCCGTGAATTCAGAATCTTGAAATTTGGTACGAATCGCAGATAAAGCAAATTTACGAAAACCGGTTTTTAAGATACATCATATAATAAAAACATTTTTAATAAATATCTACAGGTTTGTACGGAATCCGCGGTGCGCGAGTCCGACTTGCACTTGGTCGGTTTTTACTTAGAAACGACCGGAAATAGAACCCGGGACTACAGTTATGGTTTTTACATATTTAGTATTAGTACATTATTTGAGGAAGTTCAGTTTGACGTTTGCGCTCGATTATTCGTGCAAGTGTAATGTGGTGGTTTGAGCTGTTTTCAGTAAAATGCCCAGATCCTAAGATCTTATATAATTCTGCTGAAATAAATATGAGCTCCATTATAGTTACCCTTTTGCTCTAAATACTGCCTAAATTTTCTTATGGGGCTTTCTTCACTATTCCATTTGTGTATTTCTTCAGCTGGCCGGTACGCTGTGCTATCATCAGACGTAGAATGGTGTCCTACTCTGAAAAATAAAACGGTAAATTGCATTTAATATATCAAACTTCAGCTACAACACTAAAATAATAAAATCGTGCAGCGAGTGATAATTTATTCATTTTTTGAATTGCTCAATGATATGGTGAACCGTATTGTATTGTATTGTATTCCCGAAATCTAACTAGATGTCGCCACAGTACGTTCTTGATTTCTCCATGACAACCTATCCGGTTTTCTTTCATGTTTAAAAGTAAATTAGATTTCAAAACTCAATAAACAACTCATATTCTATTTGTACCTTTTCGTATTTGTATTGATATCTAAGTTTCGAACTTTTCAAATTTCAGTTTTTTAATATGTTAGTTAATAGGTACGGAAATGAAATGTTTCCTGTAAAAATCAAATTTTGCTAGAGTCGCCATCTAGTGGAGGTGCTTTTTTAATGCTTTCGTTTTTCTTAAATACTTTCTCATTGTCCCATCGACTGAATGTTTAAATAAAGCGGAGTAGCTAATCAATGAGCACGACACGATGATGTTACATAGTGGTACATTGTGTATCGTATAATGAGTGACCTGTAGGCCATGGCTTCGATGAGGACGGGTTGGTTGTGTGCTAGGGCGCGCCCCCTGGCGGCGGCGACGGCGCGGTACACGGCGAGGGGGTCGGTGCCGTCCACGCGCGCCGTGCGCAGCCCCAGCGGCGCCCCGCGCGCGCCCACGCCGTCCCCGCGGTACTGCTCGCGGGTCGGCGTCGATATCGCGTAACCGTTGTTTCTACTAAATAACGTGTAGAGATACCTTTAAGCTTTATGCTGACGTAATGAACGAGATTGTGGGAGATGACATTTGTTTAAAATCGTTTTAGCATCTCATTATTGAATCGCCGGTGAATATATAAAGGAACCCTATGAGATTAAAGTCTTATCAGTTATAATTAACAGAGCACTGCAACTGCCATTTATAATAGGAATTAGCCTGACACGGTAAGCGGAAATTGTCTTTATTCTTTATTTTGATCACGGTTTTGGATAAAAAAATTGGAAGAAGTGGTCATTAATGCTCTAACAATATTTTCACGTCAGGTTTACATAACTATACATGTTTCATAAGGTATATTTTTACAGTGGTGCTCACCACAGCATGATGACGGGGCAGTCGAGTGTGGCGGCAAAGTTGAATGCAGCATGAGCGTCTCCCTCTGAGGCAGCGCCGTCGCCGAAATAGCAGATCACGCAGCGGTCGTTGTTGGGCACTCGCTTCAACGCGTACGCGGCGCCAACCGCTTGCGGCATCTGGGTGGCTGCAATGTAACCATTTGTATCTGACTGATGTTGAGCATGGCAGATCACAAACTATTGGTACGGGAGAGTAACCGGAAATTATCTTCCTCCAGATGTTTAATGACCACAATTCATAGTTTGGAGATAATTAGATTGTGTATTTTATTGAGATTATATCATCATATCGTGAGCGCAATGCATGCTCTTTACATTATTAAGCAGTATCAATAGCATGGGAAGCTTGTAACATTTTATTTTAGGGTAATCTAACCAACCTTTGATTTTGATGCATTTCTAATGTACGCATTGCTAGATGAATATCGCTAAAAGAGAGCCACAAGAAGTTTACCCTTCACATAAGTTGATACTTATTGCTTCCATTGAAATATTTCTAAACGTGTGACTTGAACACAAAGAAAAAAAATGCTGAATGAGACAAATAAGCAATATATTAAAGTACCAATTTCTTGTCCAAGCACAACTTCTATCCTTACATTATACAACAACATGATAAAATTCTAAGAGTCTACCGACACCTCAATGTTAGATCGCAAAGATAAACCACAAGTAAGTCGTGAAGGTTCTCGAGTGGAGACCACGAACTGAAAGACGCAGCGTGGGTCGACCCCCGACTAGACGGACGGACGACATCGTCCGAGTCACGGGCGGCCGCTGGATGCAGCTGGCGCAATGTCGTCCGTTGTGGCGTTCAAAGGGTTCAGCAGTAGACGTCTTCCGGCTGATGATGATGATGATGAAGTCGTAAAGATGTAAATGGATAACCCTTACTTACCGAGAGGACTGGAGAGGGTGACTATGTTGTGTTGCTTACTGCCGTAATGCACTGGCATCTGCCGTCCCCTGCCCGGGTCCTCGCAGTTCCCGTAGCACTGGTTCACGATCTCCGTGACTGTCATGCCGCGGTACAGCAGCACGCCCACCTCCCTGTACTGCGCGAACACCAAGTCAGAGGGAGAGAGGGCCGCGGCACTGCCCACGTGGATGCCCTCCTCGCCATAGTTCGTCATGTAGAATGATATTCGACCTTGCCTGACGAATGTATTATGTAGTAAACAGATGTATTAGCGGTAACGGTTATTTAATTTATGTTAATATTGTTAATTGACTGAATGCACAATTATATTGGAAGCCGGAGGAGGCATTTCCGATGGTTACCTCGAGCCGCATGGACGGGCTATACAAATTAAGTGTTGTATTTGTCCTTAGATACTTTGAGGAGGTAAAAATTTAAGCGTTGAAGATGAATAAATCAATTTATTTAACTAGTCTTGCACAGGTGTACATATTAATGTATCACGTTTTTTGTCAGTGTACTGCTTAAGTGAATAAACATTATTATTATTCCTGTATTTACAATTTACTCTTCCCCACCCCTCGACGCTTCGAGGGGTGGGAGGATTCCCCCCGGCAGAGGAGGCCAGACGGCCGGGGGTCAGGGCGACAAAGAGAGAAAACGGCGGACGATCCTTGCGTTACCGAGCAAGATCGCCCGCTGGAGCCTCGCAATCATTGGTCCGTCACGGAGTCCCAACCTCTTCAGATGGTCGTGAAGAGAAGTTGAGACTAGGCCAATAATAATACTCTTTGGACTAGGCCATTCGTTGGCACTACGACTGGGATGATTTCAGTGGATGACACTCGCCACATATCGGTAACCTCGTGCGCCAGGTTCAGATATTTAAGTTTTTTATCTGATTCGGCTTTCACGAGGTTTTCATCGAATGGGACGGTGACATCCACTAAGAACACCCGAGATTCCGCCCGGTCCATCAGTACGATATCAGGCTTGTTCGCAGGAACAGTCCTGTCCGTGATGACTATTATTATTATTATTATTATTATGCGTTCTCTCCCAGTCAACCTTTGGGTTATGTTAAAATAAACACTTGGTTAACATAACGGCGCATTTACACTAATCATTTGTGATCATTACCTTTGAGACTCGTACATTATTTTGTCCATTTGGCTGAGCTGCACCATCGTCTTATACATGTTGAGCAAAGTCTCTTTGTCTATATTTGGTTCCTCTCTACCGTCAATCACCTGTAATTATAAACTGACATTTGTTGCAGGTTCTGAGGGGACGTAAAGCCAAAAGCCTGTCTTTGTTTGCGGGTGCGACTAAATATTATATGGAGAGAAAAGATGGCGAATTGCTTGCAATAGACAGTTTATTGTAAAAATACTGAATAATTCACTTAGCTACAAAGTTACTCGCATACTTATGAAATAAAAATTACTATAAGAAATATCAAACTATTTAATGTTAGGGGTAATTTTGTGATTATTTCTTATCGAGAAATAAATATTACGTATTGATTGTTTTATCTCCCAAACGTATGATAAAGTTTTCTCATTTTTAATTACAGCTCGTTTGTACAAAACTAGTTAAAAGAATTTTGATGTCAGCACCCCCTTCACAGAATAAATTAAAAAGAAACTTTTCTAATAAAGTAAACAACATTTATAATTCAACATTTCAAAAGTATGCTATACGCAACTGATGTACCGTGTGTAGTTTTTGTTTAATTTGACTTGGCTCTATTTACCTGGCCGTTGTGATCGAGCACCCTGTATATAGGGATGGGGTCATAGCTGGCTTCGCTGAGGAACTTGAGCTCGGTAACGTACGGTGCGCGGGCGCCGGGGAAATCCCCCACTTTAGCATTTTGAACCGCTTCTGGACTCGAGTGGGTTGAGAGGAGCTGTGTCACAAAACAAATAGTTTTTGTGCCATTAAAAAAATTATTATTATTTTGCGAGGCAAATGTGTTTAAGCGTTAACACGATAACATCATAGGCACGCGACCTTCGTGGCTGGCCGTTCTAAGGTGTTGCCTTCTTTGAGGTCCCGGGTTCGATCCATCGGGCGAATGTAGAAAATGTATTTTTTATAATGTTGTTTTATATTTCCATATATTTTATATCCAGCGCTTTAACTACTTCATTAGAGTTCTGAGCAATGTATTAATGTTGTCTATTATATATCTATAGATCAAAATTTGACATTTGTGGTAACCCGATGTGCTGTTACAGAAAACAACTAGCTATTATTATTTACGTTGATGTAATTGCATATGGTTATTGAATATAATAGTTTTATCTATCTAACTATCTATCTAATAATGATAACACAACGAGAAGAAGTAAATGAGCCATTTTAAGACTTAATACAATTTTATACCTATAAGACAACCGGCGAGAACTATAAAAACAACTTGTGACGATCGCATACAGTGACGATAATTTACATTATGTTCACATGTGATACGGATTACATAGATTATTAAAATTATAATTAGTAATTAATATCGCAATTCGTAAATATTTAAAAAAACCGGTATTACATGATACGGTCTTTAGTTGTTAACGAATTTGATAAAATAAATATTAAAAAACGAACTTTACCCGCACAGCTTGACGGATGGTATTGAGCTTGAACACACGCACGCCACACTTAAGCGCCATTTTGCTACTGACGAAACTTGCTTGAATAATTAATGCCTAAACCGTGGTTTACGTACTGAACGTTTTCACATTAGCAAGTATGATAGATAAGAAACTCGGCCTTATCATAATAAAGTAAACCAAGCAGAAGATATAGTTAATTTTGACGTTTATTGCAAAAATTTACAGCGGCTAGATTTCAGTTTTTTTAGTCCTTTTTTACAATTAAAATTTTAATATTTTTAAAAAGAAAATAATTTGGATATAATAAAACTCACCGATATTAACTTTTTGGAAAAAGAAAGGGGAAAATCATCTGTTCCGTACAATATTTTCGGCAAATGTCGAATGAAATTTGCTTATCAGAGTGTTTTTACCAACTGAAAGTTATATTCTCTTCATGAGAGCAAGTTGGTAGTTACGCTCTAGTTAAAAATTTGCTACTGAGCATTCCGAATCCATTACTGCGTGCTTCGAGGTGCAGTTCTGATGGAGAAACGGCCTTTCCATGCTCGAGAGGGTATGCCGAACCGGGTCGAAGGGAGAGGACGGATATGGAATCAGAGGAAGAATCTATTTTATCTATTTAATCTTAATATGTTTAAAGAAGAATCTATCTCACTAGAGGTAAGAACCTCTTCCTTTATAGTCTCACCGTAGAAAGGAAGAGGTAAGAGAGATAGAAGAAGGTAGACTAGAGATGGGTATTTGGATGTTGAGTGGTACTTGGATGTTAGTGTACCGTGGCTTCCGAGTGTATAGTCTGACAGGCCTAGCCGAGTCTATTTATTATTATTTATTGTTGTAAGGGGCTATGCAGTTCCCGGAGGAACTGTAATCACTGCGACCTTGAAGATCTATTGTGACTCAACGCCAGAGCAATAGTACCTCCTTTAGCCTGGTGGACTTCAAAAAGTCTATAATATCGATTGAGTGCTGCTTGACTATCAGAGTATATGTAAATGGTTTGATTTCTGTAGTTTTGTTGGCGATCAGCTTCCACACATTTTAAAATGGCGTATAAACGCATGATTATTAAATTCAGCCGTTCTTGGGTTGATTCATTGCGTTCTCATAGTAGAAGTATAATAGGCGACGTCTTTCGATGCCATACGACTCGATTTTACACTTTATCGATATTGAAACATGACTATACATATAAAGTTTAATAAGTTCAGTCATCATCAAAACTGTTTATGCAAACGAAAAGCCAAGACTCAACAAAAGCGGGAAATTCACTAGACAGGCATTCGGCATTCCTATATAGTGTAGGTCCGTGGCAGACTGCCTGTGACGGACCTACACAGACATGATACAGACCTATAGTAACGAGGTCTGGTAGGCATGTCTGCAGACATGCCCGCGGGCATACCTGTCTAGTGAATTCCCCACTATACCTATAGTTCTTGGGATACCCACTGTATTTTTTATGGATACTATAATACGGAAGTAGAGCGAAGTACCCGCCCGACTTTCCATCACTTTTTTATCGTAAATTTTTTCACCGATTTCTTTTTAATATTCGTTATGATTTCAAAATCTGAAATACATATCATACTGGATATACGTTTTAACTGTGGTTCCTATAAGCAAGTTAACGGCGCGGTGGGGGTCAGTTGTTATCATTACCATTTACACATGATTTTTGTTTTCATTTTTTATCTTCAATGAAGAACAATGTTATAATCAAAGCATAAAAGTAACAATAGTTACTTTTTAACCTAAAAATCATTCAAGAGTTTTCGATAATAAAAAATACAGAAATATTTTTCTTAGTTAAAAATTAAAGAAAGATATTTCTAATTAAAATATACAGTACCTAATTATGTAGATAGATAACAACATATGTTAGTCTGACATTAATGTTTGATTTTGTCGTCTTTATTTGATAGAAATATTTTTTGTTCTTATTAAAAAAATACAGTTATACTTAACATTTAAACAAATGAGATGCACAGATCAATAGTTAAGAATACAAAAAGCTTAAATATTTAAACTTGGATAGTAAATGATTGTATCAAAGTCGACTAACATAGCAACACTGAGTATTTATTATCATATTATTACCTATGGCAATAATTCAAAACGTCACGAGTAAATATTATCCGACCTATTCAAGTTAACATTGCATTGTCCATATTTTTTTGTTACGGTGGTTCGTTTTAATGCAGTCGGTTTCTTTTAGTTGTCATTTTGCATTCAGTGGCAGGCAACCGATTATTATAAATGACGATTTATTGATATTTTAACATTAGTTTATCTTCAAAATGCCTTATTGGTACTACGATAAAAAAGATTTACAAAATACACCGTCTTTTCGCGATGGCATTAGTAATGAAAATGAAAATCGGTATCGAAAAGAAGGCGCAAGGTTTATCATTGATACAGGTTCCAAAATGGACTTAGGTTATAACACAGTGGCCACTGGTGTTGTTTATTTTCATCGTTTTTACATGTTCCATTCGTTCAGAACTTTTCCTAGATATATAACAGCGTGTTGTTGTTTATTTTTGGCGGGTAAAGTGGAAGAAACCCCAAAGAAGTGTAAAGATATAATAAAAGTGGCAAGATCATTGCTAACTGACCAGAAGTTTAGTACATTCGGTGAGGATCCGAAAGAAGAAGTGATGACCCTTGAAAGAATACTGCTGCAGACTATAAAGTTCGACTTGCAAGTCGAACACCCATATGGTTACTTGCTAAAGTATGCAAAATGTCTGAAAGGAGATAAAACAAAGTTACAGAAGATGGTTCAAATGGCATGGACTTTTGTTAATGACAGGTTAGTAATGAGAAAGGAGTTTATTGCTTTTTACATTATAGCATATAGTGGTGATTTCAAAAGTATTGCACAACACATTTATTATGGTGTAATATTCATCTAGAATTGCTAACTTTGCTTTGAGTTTTTCATGGTCTTTTACTGTTCAATCAAATTAAATTTACTAGTTCTGTTCTAGTTATTAGCTATATAACTGTGATTTACTACTAAAGTTTTAGAAAACAGACAAAAATGTTATATTTTAATGAACATCTTTCAAACTATTATTTAATAGAAGTTTCCTTATTTCTATGCCATTGAGCAGTTTATGTACAACATTATGTCTACAATGGGAGCCTGAGGTGATAGCAGTAGCACTCATGTTCTTAGCTGGTAAACTTAGCAAGTTTGAAGTTGTGGACTGGAATGGACGAATACCAAAACACAATGCCTGGTGGGATATGTTCGTGGAAGATATTACTATGGAGTTATTGGAGGACATTTGTCATCAGGTAAATATAATATAGATTCTTTATAGCTTATTAATTCATTCTTAATTTTAAAGCCAATTTCAAAATGATTAATGTTTCAATTAGAAACTGGGTATTATACAAATTGAATGTTTAATGGTATTAGATGGATTACATACACAACAGTGATAGAGTAGCCCGGTAGCGTAGTGGATAAGCGCCGCGGCCCGCAATCGTTGTTGTTAAGCAACTTTCGCAAGGGTCGGTCAGGGGACGGGCGACCAAAAAAATATTATCTCGAGCTACTCCGTGCTTCGGAAGGCACGTTAAGCCGTTGGTCCCGGCTGCATTTGTAGTCGTTAATACCCTCCAATCCGCATTGGGCCAGCGTGGAGGGTCATGGCCCATCCTCCTTAACCATACATAAGGAAGGCCTAAGCTCCTGCAGTGGGGACGTAAAAGGGCTGATGATGATGATGATGATGATAGAGTACAAAACTTTGATATCCTATAAATTAATTTTTAATGGAAGTTTTAATGTCATTGTAAATTTTATGTCATGCAGAATGTTTTTGTTACATTTTTGTAGATTTACTAATTTATGCTTGCCCTATTATAGTTTTATGGGCTGTATAACTTGTATTAGCTATAAAAATATTGTTTGTGATAGTCTGAAAGAAAACTAAGCTATTAGCATTATACAGTACTAGGTTTCCGCCAGCAGCTTCACCCACATGCTCTTGTATTATACATAAAAATCTTCCTTTTGAATCACCCTATCTATGAAAAAAAAACTGCATCAAAATCTGTTGCATATTTTTAAAGAATTAAGCATACATAGGGATATAGGGACAGAGAAAGCGAATTTCTTTTATTTTATTTTATTTTTTTTATTTTATTTTATTTTATTTTATTTTATTTTATTTTATGCAGTGATAGTGTGAATGCAATAAACCCCTTAACATAAGTGTAAATTGTTAGTATTTTAAACAAAATTTTACATAAAAATTCATCTTAACAAATAGGGTGATAGGCTTAATAGACACATTTAAATTTGAGAAGGTATAAACTTCAGGTAGTCTGTAATATTTTTGTGATGCTAATCACCAAATATATTTTAAATTTATTATGCTATATTTGCTTTCCAGGTGTTGGACCTGTATTCGATGCAAGCCCAACCTTCTGGGGGTGATTCTCCTCCAATACCATCTACCACAAAACCTCCAAAAAACGAGAAGAAACCGCCCTCCGGTACACCGCCCACTTCCGTCTCACCTGTCGCCCCTGTCGTGAATAAGGTAATAATTTTATCTAGCCCTATTTTTTAAGCATTTTTCAGTAATAATATATATTTTGACTTAATTTAATTGAATGGAATTTAATTTTAATGTAACAATTAACAAAATTCAGAAACAAATTTTAATAATAATCAAATTTTAGTAATGAGCTCCCGTCTAAAATTATTTTTTAATGAAAAATGCCAAAAAAATCCAAGTGGTCCCTGGCACCCTGAGATGAGGTTCGAACTTATGACCTTTCACAATTCGGGCGATTGCTCTTATTACTGAGTTACCCAGAACCTAATACGACTGACGAATCTCTCAAGCACTTGTTTTTTTTTTTCGCTGCTACAGAGCGTATTCTCATCAATATTCAAGCTATCAACCTAAACAGCCGAAAGAAATATTTTTGCAAATATTTAAACTTTCAATATTTACCTTAACCATCCATAAGGAAGGCCTGAGCCCCTGCAGTGGGGACGTAAAAGGGCTGGTGTGTGTAAACTTACTATAAAGATGAAAATTTGTTCTAATTAATATATTTGATTAATTTTACATTTACAATGCTACACTGAAAAGTATTTGTATTAAAAAATGTTTAAAAATTCCACTTGATCCCTGGCACCCTGAGATGGGATCCCATCCTTTGTGGATTTTTTGAAGAATACTTTACAGTACAGCATTGTAAATGCGAAATTGATCGAATATAATAATTGAAATTGCTTCATTTATCTTTTATTACTATCTTATTTTACTAAAGCACTCCTTTACATTTTGCAATGCCCTAGCAGGGCGTCACCTAAAATTGAATTCTATCTGATTGTTTGTAACGTCACACAATAAATAATTTGACTTTGACTTACGTTTATTATAATAATTTTTTTACATAAATAATATTAAATACTATATGTTGTTACTAAAATTCAATGATATTGAATATAGTTGCCAAATTAAATTATTGAGAATTTATATATTTTGTGTTTGTTATAACTATTTTTATTATTAATTATGGCACAAGCGAGCATTCACCAAACAAAATCAACCCAACTTATTATAAAATCACAACTAACTTTAGTACCAGGTAAAATAAGTAACACATCTAAATTTTATATTTTAAAACGAGTACTTATTTTAGCTCGAACTTCAAAATAAGATTTATGTTCAAAATACTATTAAGATTCCTATACATAGGATCCCTAGAAACATTGGTGTTTACTTTACCGTCGCATCACCCGGTTCGTTTGCGTTTATGAATGCAGACGGCGACTCCGGTGAAGAACGGCGCGGGCATGGGCGTGGGCATGGGAATGGAGCCGAGGCCGGAGTTGCCGCGGGCGGGGGCGGGCGCGGGGGCGGAGGCGCGGTTCCCGCTGTACGGCGCGCCGCCGGGCGCGTACTGCGCGCCGCCGCCGCGTTTGCCGCCGCCGCCGCGCTTGCCGCCGCCGCCGCGCCTGCCGCTGCCGCTGGTGTACAGCGAGCCGCCCCCCTCGTACCCGCCGGTGCTGGTGCCGCCGGTGCCGCCGCCCCCCTACTACCCGCCCCGCCCCTACTATCCCCCCCCGTGACGCCGCGGGGGCGGTCTCTCCTAGGTTAATGTGGCATTTTTTTACAGAAATATATTAACGATAGACTAATTATAAACGTGATTTTATTTCTCCTCTACGTCTATGTTTATATTAAATTTTTTATTTGACAATGGGGCTTAATGATTTGATGATTCTTCTAACGCTGACAATAATAATAATCAACATTTTGTCATCACATGTACAGACGAGTTTCATTTAATAAGTTTCCAACGAGTACCTCTTCACTGGACATGAATATCTATTCTATTTTTTGGCGCATTCAGTGACTCAACTATACGGGCTGTTCTTTTTTACTAAGTGTTTATGGTAATAATTTGAAAATTAAGAACACAACTGCCAAAATCTAACTAAAATAAAAATCTCACTGCAATTAAGCGACTTCTTAGATTACAAATTTTTCACAGAATGCTCGCCCGAGTGCAACGAGCTTTTAGTTCACTTGATTCTGACTGAATTGACTTGATTCTCTATTTTTAGTTCGATTTTGGCAGTCATATTTCTTATTTATTAATTTTTATTTTATTCCTCTACAGTGCTATTAATAAACAAGGTTTAGCATCACACTAAATTGCAATTTTAATAAAACTCTAAATTCATAATATAAAGAGAATAAGCAAATCTACTACCTTCTAGGAGTAAATATTACTCCCGTAGGACCTCGTACTAGGTTAACCTTTACTAAGTCTCTGTTTAATAATATGAATTTTGACTAATACTAAGTGAAGTCTCAGCGTAAATTTACTCCAACGCTAAACCTTGTTTATTAATAATACCGTTAGTGATCATTAAATGTATACATAATATTTTTGGAATGTACTCATCTAGACCTTGATGATTGAAGAAATATTATATATCTTATTTTTTAAATGGCAACATACATTCGCCATATTGGATATTAAAAAAAAACGATAAGCATCGATTATAAAGACAAATTAGATGGAAAATTATTTGTATAAACTTTACGCATATCACTTTGCAATCTGTCACAGGAATTCTTAATGAACGATAATTATAAGATAATCTAATATTTTTGATGGTATTCGGTGATTTCGAAGATTTTAGTGTTCGTTGAATATCGATTGTTGTTTGTTACCCGGCCTGGAAAAACTAACCACGACAACTAGTAGGGTCAGCGTACATCTGACGAAAGATCCGTCGGGCGTATAACTGCAAAGTGTGAAATTGAATGGCATACCTATATCTAGTCGTGATGATACGTGACGTATCTTCCTCCAGATTTGCATTAATCCTTAGAGATAAATCTCGCTCAGCGATATATTAGCTAGCTTGATTTTTCTAGGCAATACATGAAAACTATGAAATCCTCGTAAAATTTTATTGTCAAATACAAACATCACAATGCTTGAGAAATATCGCACGCACAAGTTTTAACTTTGTATGTGTATGTTATATAATTTCAATTTAATAATAAAATTAGAAAAATGACAAACATCGATAAAATACATTTAATAAATAGTACGTTCCACTCTAAAATACTGTTCTTTTTCAATGATTTTTAATACATATTTATTTATATTTATAAAATGGTAAAAAAGACTGAATAATCATTAAACGACAAGGTATACTTAGAGAGTAGTGCATATAAAACTTTGTGCACAAACATATCAACACCCGTTCAAACTCACCTTAACATTATAATAAAACACTCGTAGCTGCCATTCGACTAGATAATACAAACGCATTATATGAACACAAACACTGCACCAGATTAGTACAAAAAAGATACAGTTACAACATATAAAAAAATAAACCTCGAGTTTTTTAAATGAGATATAAATAAATAATATGGTAATGTAGTTTGAGACCGCCTTTACATAAATATTGTCTGCGCACATCCCTTAACTATCCGGTATTGACCAGTATATACCTAGTACGGGCGGACTGCGCAGCCGCCGGTCGTCTATGCGCCCGCCATTTTTAATTAGTGCGAGCCGGAGCGCATTCGAGTGAACACGTATTGCTTTGTTACAATCTTGTATACCTAAAAGTGTGTAAACGGTGTGTTTTACCTATCAATAAAACTCTTGTGATTGTGCACCCCACGTTGGGCGCCAGTTTAGCTCGGCGGGAAATGAATGGGGTGGGCGTAGGTAGATTGTAATAATACATATTATTTTGGTAATGACATGATTTATGTAAATGTCATTACTTATGATAAAAAGCTGGTAAGTTTCTTTCGCTTGTTCTTCTTGTCAGCTAAAAGACGCACTGAACAAGTGGTAGGGGAAAAAAAATTTTTTTGGACGATTCAAAAGTGCTTGTAATAGCCTACTTGAATAAAGATATTTTCATTTCATTTCTTGTTGAAATACCGAGACATAATCACAATACATAGCTTTATTAATAGGTAAAACACACCGTTTACATACTAGTTTGTAACAAAGCGATACGTGCATGGACGAGCGGCGGCGACGCAGGCCGCCCGTACTAGGTATATACTGGTCAACACCGGTTAGTTAAGGGATGTGCGCAGACAATATTTATGTAAGGGCGGTCTCACGCTACATTAATTAATTTCTACTTGCACGAAAACTTAATTCTCAATGTATCAAATAGATATAAAAAAACATAACTACAGTATATTGAGCAAGCTGTTTGTGTAAAAAAAAATGTAAGTTCATACAACGAATTATATAATTTTGATTTTGTTTTCAATAACTTACATTTAAATCCTGGGGTGCGACCGCCTTATTATTTAGCCAAAATACGAAATCTTAGCGATGTTGTGTCCATTATTTCATTTAACTACTTTAACATTTACTTTATTATCGAGGAACTAATCGCAAAGGAATAATATGAAATGTAATACCGACATAACATGGATAAGATGTTGTATGTGTAGAATAATGACGGTCGCACCCCTGATCTAAAATAATTTATTTAATAATTTCTGTCATTATAGATATTAATATTAAAAATTATTTCAAGTAGTAATACTTCATCGGTTATAAGAAAAATACATTAGTGTTTATAAAATAACAAAAAGTTATTATAAAACTTGATCCGTTTTATTATAAAACTACCTTAAGTACCAGGTTTAAACCATTATCCGAACAAAAGTAAACACGTCTCAATTTTGTATTCTTCTCTTCTGTTATTGTCAAATTCCTTAAAATGGCAAATAGTTTAAACTGAGTACTAAGTTTGATCCTAGTTTTATAATAAGACGGAATGTGGCTACAAAAATCTTAAAGATTGCTCACACTTTCCTTAAAACAGTTAAAAAGTACAGACTACAGTTATACTAAAATTTACAAAGGCACTCACAATTGTTATCAGATCGTAAATATAATCTCCGATTTATAAGGCACATGATTTTCGACTTACGTCCTATTAAAAAAAAATTATACTATCAAACGCGATTAACTATTTATACATATTATATGCATTTTTAGTATATTACAGTATAGGCACATAGTTATCTAAGAACTAAATTAATACTTCCCGACATTTTAATAATTTATATAAAATTAAAGATGAGAGAATTTATCGATCCTTGTTGTATGAAATATAAATAAATAAATATACAAATAGGGAATACTACAAAAGTGGAAGATACTCGAAGTAGTCATTAAGGAAGTTATGACAGTCCATATACCCTAATGCAACATAAACCAAACCAACAAATACTTAGAAAAAAAAAGTATACAAAAACAACAATAAATTAACGTCAGTATCGAAATTAGTTGTTAAATACGTATGAAATAAAATATGGCTTATATAAATAATATCATTGTTCAGTAAGCACGTGTTTAGATCCAATTTTTATGACTGAAGTTCGCTCTAGATACACAATCACATCTTGCTATATAAGCATGTGCGTGCACAAGTCGCTTATGACTTTCACATGGGTTTGCATAAACCATAAATCAAAGAGAAGATTAGTTTTTGCACTGCGGATAAAATAACACAACTTCGTACATTACAATAAATAGACGGGTCCTATGTGTAAGGGACAAAGTTGCTTTTTAAACGATATACATTAAAAGAACATTGAAATTGTTACAAACACTGTTATCGCGTGCAACTACTTATTTAGGTCATTTTTGTTCATAGATAATTTAAATCACATCAAAACAAAATTTTAAGAATATCTTCGGACAAGTTATGTATGAATTATCAATTCAGCCCTTATACATAGGTCCGCTCGATATATTTGCTTTGCAAATATGTATTCCATTCCTTACATAAAATTCGAAAAGGAAATATTTTCATTCTCTTTTACATTATTTATACTTGGAACACATATCAACTTATTAACGTTTTCGGTTTTTACTTTTTTCAAAAACTGAAACCAACTTCAATTTTGTTTAATGACATAAGATATAAACCTCATCTTCTTTGTTTTGAAGTCGGTTAAAAAGGCTAAAATAAAAAAATAAGATTAGATCGTTAATATTGTCGTTATTTAAGCTATTATCGCCTCCACATTTGTCCATAATATATTCACATAAAGCAGATTTTACTATTACATATTTAAATTGGAAGAGGGATAAAAGAAAAGAAACTGTTTGTCTAAGTTATTAAAGTGATGCATTCATTGTAACATTCGATGCCATACTAAGTTCGAACCCACTTTAAAAAACGTATAGTTGTGTTTGCATCTGACAACCTTTTACATCAGCGTTGTACCGTTTTTTATTATACATTTGATCTGTGTTTTTATTTTTATACATGTGTGTACTGTCTTTATTTAATTTTTAACTGGTTCCCTTTCTGTAGTACTGTTTTGTTCGAGACATTTAAATTTCTATATATTAATAAGATTCGTTCAACTGTTGTTATATACAGTATGTTTACAAGTTCCCATTATGAAAGCTTTTATATACAGGGTTACTTGTAAAACACTAACTCACAGTAATTAAATAACCATCATTAAAAACAAAGTACCTTCTACGAGTTTTGATAAAATGAACCACTTTTAGACAAAGTTCATACGTATCTGTAATTTGGCCTGACTTTAAATCATTAGGATAGTTTTAGTCTAAAGTTATCTCTATGAGCCACAGCAATGCGTGACTTGATTGAATAGAATTTAATAAAATTTACTGTTGATAGACGGTATTTTTATATCACGTACATTGCTCAGATTCTAAATTGAGGAGCTCTTAACTTTTTACGCAATTTTGAAACAACGTATGTCCCATAACACCCAATTAATTTTCCATTAGAACCGATTGAGAATGACCAAGACCATATATGCCCGTGTCGAGTTAAACAGGTAGATGAAACGTTGCCTTTTACGATGGCGGCTATTCAGATGCGCGAAGTCGCACATATCCCTGTATAAGTATGCTCATATGAGTCGCGAGTGCCTCAGGTATGTGAGCAGCAGTAGATGTAGGAACCTGTACAGAGGTAGGGAGTCCACCAGAGCAGCTCTCTGTTCATGCAGCAGACCGATCGTACGAGGTATGTCTAGTTCCTGAAAAATATACTAATGTCAACACTTCAATAAAAGAAAAACTAACATTTCATTTTAGTACATAAATTTGTTTAAAACATATATTAAGATCGTTGTATTTGTTTTTCTATATATAACCTTTTCGATTAACTATACAAAATCTGAGGGTGGAAGAAGATTCATCCTCGAATGCAGAGGCGTAAACTTGCTGTTTCAGTCTCGTCGTGACCACGGCTGGTGCAACCTGGCCGAAACGTCGGCGCAGGTCAGTTCAAAAAACGCGTATAATCCCCGGTACTATAATAGTTTAAAAGTGAATAAGGGTTCTGTCACTCTCAAGTCGCCTCCCACACACAAAAAGCAGGGGGAGACATAAAGTGAAGAAGCC